ATTTAAGTGCTTTATTTGTAGCACTGCACTGCAAATTCCTGCACTACATAGATGCAGCAGTGTGACAGTCCTCTTCTGCACATACCACATCAGGGCAGAGAGAGCAGAATTTGCTCTTCATGGCCCGTTCAGTCTTCGGCTTTTGTCCTGCAACTGCAAAACAGATGTAGTTTGAAGTGTGTGGTGGGTTTCTTTTGGTTTTGTTTCTCTGTGAACATCTGTGCATTCAAAACTTTGCGTTTTAGTCAACAGATTGCACTTTTTTTTTTTTAAGGTACTATGTGGGCTGTTATTTAAACAGGACTTTTGCACTTCATTTGGATGTGTAATGGTTTCCAATTTCTAAATAAAATTATTCTAGGTACAGTGGTTGTACAGCCTGAGCCAGTGCTGAATGAAGACAAAGATGATTTTAAAGGGCCTGAATTTAGAAGCAGAAATACCGTTAAAATGAAACCTGAAGCTCCCAAAAAGCGTGGAGGTAAATACAACTTAAAGCATTTATTAAAACGTGTTTAAATTGTTGCCTATGACCACATTTGGTACATCTGAAAATTGTTCATATTTCTAATAAATTATCCTAAAAATACCTCCACTCTTCTGGCTCTTTGTTCATTAAGGATTCTAGCTGGCTGAAATTAGCCTCCATTGCTGCCCCTGCAATGCAGCAGTGAAAGCTAAGATTAGTTCTCATTAAACATCGTATTTTCAGTAGCTATAGGATGCATCACTAGGTACTCCATATGGACCCTTCTTGCTTTGTATTCAGAACAGTGGCTTGGTTGCGATCAGGTGTTACAGGTATTCCTTTTTTAAGGAATTCAATTGGAACACCATCAATACGGGAACATTCGCTGACTCGCCAAGAAAGCAACTGTGTTTGAGTGGGGACATGTATAGGTATATTATCAACCAGCGAGCTAACAAGAAATCTAAACCCTCTAACAATTCAAAGACTTTTTTTTGTTTTGTTTTTTAAATTGTGGGAAATTCCCTACCAGTGGGCCCTTCTAGGGATTATCTTTGAAAAGCTGCCGTGCTAGTTGGCTTTCCATAGCTGCTGCTAAAACGGAGAAGTCAGGCAGATTATAGTGATAACAGAAATTCATCTCATTTTTTTCCAAAAAGTAAAGGAGAGGGAGGATTATGTATAAAGTAGCCAGCAAGAAGGCAGATATTTTCGTTACTACTACTAGCAATACCTTAGTTCACACACCTCGAGTTAGTACCCAGGGTATTCAGACAGCTCTTGTACACACTCTTCATTCTTCCCATTGTATCATTTGAAATACTAGCTCTCTTTTAAAGTCTCATTGTAATTTAATAAGTGCTATTTCTCCATCTGTGGTTGAAGAGGAGTAAAATGTGACTGTGTGGAAATGTGCTTGTGCATACATACGGGCTCATGCATGGTTTTAAACACATTTTGAGCATTGACGTTTTCTGTAAATTATTAAGCTTTAAAAGGCATTCCGTTCTATTCATGCACGATGTCTTGTTCGGCATATAGGAATGTTTTTTCCGTTTGTGTTTATAACAATTTTATAACAGGTCCAACAGAAATCTTCAGGGGTATAGTGTTAAAAAGATAGGACTCCTCTGCTTGAGCTTTGTGGCCTGCGTCTGCATCCCCAGGACAATTCATATGACCTGCCCTTCCAGGGCCTTTTTCCTCCATCCCTAGAGAATTTACAGGCCTGCCTTTGTGTACCTGGGCTGGTTACTCATGTACTGGTGCCTGACATAAGATAATAGTTTTGGAAGGGACATCAAGAGTTTGTTTAAGCCATATCTTTATCCAGGGCAGGCTCAGCTATATCCGTGTCACTGCTGATAATCTTTTGACTTGATTTTAAAGCTGTTCAGTACGCGTGTTAAGCTCCTGTCAGCTTTCAGGGGAGTGGAATAGGTACTGCCTGCTCCTGTGTTGTCCACATTTCCAGACCAGGAAGGGTAGCCAGGCGAGGGACAGGACTGCAGGCTACCACAAAAGCAGCTGGATTAGGAATGTATCAAACCTGTTTTGTTTTGTGTCCTGCACAGAAGAGGTAGTGCAGATCCGTTTATGCTACACCTGCATGTAGCAACTCGAGCTACATGAAATGGCCCTTGGCTTTCTCTTGCTGCTAGAACGAGGTGCCCAGCCTGTGCATGTACCACGTTCAGCATTGCTGGTTTAAGTAGGTAAGCTTGTAGTCCGAGCTACTGGAGATCCTCAATTCTATGCACAGTGCAAGTAAATTAAAAAATAACAATAAAATGAAAAACGCCAGTCTGTCTTGTTCTTTGTGGAGTGCATCTTTGCATCTTTATTGGGAGTTATACGTCCTTTTTGTATTGGAAGTAGTAGTAGTAATAGAACTCTCACCTTACTGGCATCCCAATGCTCTTATCCAAGACGGTAAAAGGCATCGTGTCAGTCCTTATTTTCAAGTTTTGGGCCTGCAGAGTGGTTATGGTTGTATTTTTGCGAATAAACTCATAGTTAGGAGTGTTTTTTAAGTAGTTTCTCAGTATTAATTAGTAGTTATTTAAGTTCTTTGGATCATCATCATTTGTAGTAGTAATATGGTTTACAAAGGTTTTCCTGATAAATTATCTGCTTTTTTTTCTGGTGCCAGCTTGCAGATTTTAGAAAGAAGGCGGTAGTGCTTCCCCTTGAAGTTGTAGAGAAGGAGGAGGTAGCTTGGGACTTGAGAGTGAATAGTTTGTTCTCCCTCAGTTGGCTGTTAGGCACTGTGATTCTTAGACCCATTTAAGGATTGTGATGTTTGACAGAGCCTGGGTAGGTTTCTGTGCTGCTTGGGATAGTAGGATGTGGTGTTCTTTTCCAAGTAGTACAATACTATGGGTGCATTTATTTGAGGTTTACCAGCAGGTGTTTGAGCTGGTTTTTGAGGTCACAAGAGGTGCTTTGGAAGTCTCTGAGCTCCGCAGTACATGCAATCATGCGTGCATTGAAGTTGAAAACAACGAATCTTGTATCCAGAATTTCAGACCTGCTGTTTTCCCTGGATTGTAAGGGTCTGTTAGTTGTTCTTACTGGCCTGTAAACAATTTGAGATTGTGCTTCAGTAGTAAATTGCTAGTAGCTTGTATTGTGTCTTGAGAACGTTCGTTCAGTTCCTTAACGTTGTGGTGTTGGTGCTTGGTTCTGATGCTGTGGTAGTGATTATTTAAAAATAATAATAGTAAAAACATAGTCTGTACTTGGACTATAATCATTAACTGAACCATTTGGGTTAATTTCCTCACGCTACTTACTGAACATGACAGCAGACAAGTCACAGTTTAAGAGGTCCCGTATCAAACCTCTACCTGCTTGATCCCAAATGAAGTTTTTGAAAGTTTATGAACTGAGGGTATGAGCTTTCACAACTCGTTTTCCTTTTTCTTGAAAGCATCGCTGCTGTCAAAACCAAAACAGTCTCATGGTATTAAATAGTTGATTTAACAGCCTGGCATGTAGTGAGCCTCCCAACGCCAAGTTCACCACCTTTCAAAATGCAGTGGGGGATTGGCGTTAAAGAAACGCTTCCTTGACCGTAGGTACAGCAGTAGAGGGGTACACAGACTGGTGAGAGCATATGTGTCATAGCAAAATTGTAGTTTCAAAAAAACCCAAACCACCCCACCATCAAGAAGAGAACAAAAAGTGAAAAAAGGGGTTTTTTTTCAGGCACTATTACAAGGATTTCATGCATCTTCTGGAACAGTTCGCCCTATTTTTCTTTGAGAAACTAAAACTGTATGTGAAAGAAATACCATAATGCAAACATGAGTTAAAATGGTATTTTATGAAGAAAGATTAAATGAGAATATCAGCGTTGCTTGGAAAGAGTTTTAGTGATGATTCTTATTTAGGTGTGTTCTCATGAGGTGACTAGTGAATCCAAATTAAATCTCTCAAAGGAAAAAAAATTGTATCTTGGCCCCAAGTGGAGTATAGAAATTAGAGGAAAATTCTTTCAATGGCAGGTGGTTACAGAAAGATTTCTGTAATGCTGGGTGGTAAAGAAATAAAGGCATATGAAAGACCTATCAGGCCAAAATACTGTAAGAAAATGAAATATACAGATTTCTTAAAAATGGAAACAATTAATGTGTGGTTTGTAATCCTCTCTATAGAGGAAGGACTACATGGAATTGTAAGCTGTACAGCTTGTGGGCAACAGGTGAACCATTTTCAAAAGGATTCAATCTATAGACATCCTACACTGAAAGTTCTTATTTGTAAGGTATGTGATAAACAGTTCTACAGTTTGTACTGTTTGCTTTTGTTTGAAATGTCATATTAGTTAATTTGGGTGGGATTTTTGTGGGAGTATTGCTTGTTTATTAGCCAATAAACTTTTCAGTCCTTAACTGTTACAAATTAAAGAAATGAAAAGCAGAAAAAGAAACGGCAAATACATCTTACAAATTTAGATTCCTATTTTCTTATACCCCAGTTAAACTCATTGTGGTTTCTTTGTAATTTATTTTTACAATTTTAAGGCTATAATTTTAGTGATTTATTTTTCTTTTTTTTTTTTAAAAATGTTAAATGATCTGTCTGAAATTCCTGCCTACTCATGATGTATTATAAGAGCAGATTCAATTCTGGATCTCCTGGTAAAGCATTGTATGTAAAACAGCGTCAGAATGAGAAGCACAAGCGTAGCTTCCAAGCCATCTCAGTTTCACTTGTGTGCACCTCCTGGGCTGTTTTGATTTATGGCAGCGTCTGTAACCATGGTCTGGTCCATAACCCAAAACCAGCACCTGGGTCTTCAGCTGCGTGGTTTCATGGTGGCTTCAGTTAGGCCCTAAGCTGCCTGCAGTGGGAAGAGGTGGGCAACAGGGGAGGAAGGGAACATCCCTTGTGGCGACCTCCTTTAATTTTCAGAGGGATACAGAGATATCGCTCTTGCATATCCCTACAGTTGTAGAGATTCTGTATTTATAACGATATCTCTAAAGATCTGTGTTACAATGCACGTTTAGCATTCCCCTTCTCTTCCCTCCTTCAGCTTCTCCCCCAGTTCCCAATTAACGTTACGTATTCAGCTGACATACTGTCTCAGGCATGTCCATCTAGTCTAATGTTCTGACTCTTTTCTTCTGTTTATTCTGGCTTGTCTCTTTTATAAAATACAGTTCAGAAAAATCAGCTTGAGAGACAACTGTTTTCAGTCTTCGTTGGAGTCCTAACTCTTGTTCCTAGACTTGAAAATCCTTAACGTGTAGCTGTACGTGCTCCCGCAATGCATGCACGTTATCTGCTGCATTTTTTTAAACTTGTTTAGGGTGTTGGGTTCAATAGCAGCTCTTGACTGTGAGCTCTGTAGATTATTATATCACCTGTTGTTTCCCATAAATTTCCTGCGTCTTTACTTAATTGAACATGGCATTATGTTGGTGTGAGAGAGAGGAGTGGAAGTCCCTGATCTGCATACTCTGTGGCTTCCATTGCTTTCTGTGCCTAGTTCTGCCCTTATTTTTCTCCTGCTTAGGTAAACAGTCCCAGACTTGAGATGCTGTTTTCCTTTGACTATAAGTGTTCTGTCAAGTGTCGAAACATCAGGTTTTACTGTTTTTTTTGGTTGTTTGTTTAGTTTAGTCAAACAGGTGTATAACTCTCTTCCAGACAGAGGGGCATCATAATTTTAAATTCGGGTGCTGAAGCCACTTCTGGATTCTGAATTCACTCTGTAAAAGGACAGAATTTAGCTAATAGCTTGTAGGAATCCCTATTCAAAGTAGAGCTTCAAGTCTGGGAGAACCTTCTTTACTAGCAATTGGGGAAAAAAAAGCGCCACACCTTCAAAATTTCATTTAAAGATTTTGGTAACTGAAGCCACTGCTCCTACCAGCTGAGTGGTCTGTGGGTTTTTTGGTTTTTGGTTTTTGTTTTTTTTTTTACTATTAACAGTTTTTAAAAAAGAATCCTTAGTTTGCACCTGGAAATTGAAGCCTTGGATATTAACGTCAGGATAAATACTGAAGACTTTTTAATTTAAAGCCTTAGGGGATCTATTGCTAACATGAGCATACAGCTGGAAATTGGAACTTATGGAGATTAATTGTGTCAGAGAGGATGTAGTGTTGATTTACCTAGGACATAGAGGAAAAAACTTCCAGATTTGAAGAGAAATGTTCAGTTGGTGTTCTAAAATACGCAAATATGCAGCCTTCAAACAAAAGCCTATTTAATTTTCAAATAAACCTTGAGCCATCTAAATGAGAAGTCGTGGTTTAGGACCTGTTGCATCTACAGAAGATGTTCTTTAGCTTAACACAGTTGTAAAAGGGTTAGAATGCTGAAGACCTTGTAGCTGCTGCTTTTAATGGTTTGCTTCTAATACGTGCTGAAGTCATATGAATTGTTGCAAGTCCAGTTGAGATTTGATAAAAAATTCCTTGTCCTATCTCGTTCTTTACAGACTTGCTACAAGTATTACATGAGCGATGACATTAGCCGTGATTCAGATGGAATGGATGAGCAGTGTAGGTAAGTGTACAAAACCCATAATACCACCCGCGGCTGTTGTGCTCTGTTTTGGTTTGGTTTGTTTTTGTCTTGCAGTAATGAAATTATTGACAGATAAAGACCAGTACATAAGAGCTTAATCAACAATTGTTTCTCAACAAGAAATGGTCAATCCCAGTTGTTTTGTAAATATTTAATTGTTATTTTACTAATTAACAGGAAAACATTTTATAAAGAACTCCAATAGCAAACACTTTTAACTGAATAGCATGCCACATTACAAATACTTTAGCGGTGGGGTTGGACTCTGACATTCTAAACCTCATGAGTCACAGAAACTTTGCAGATGCGTCTCCCACTTTTGAAGTACTAAAGTACTTCTCTGTCCTTATGTCAAATATCTAAATGTGAGATCCAAATTTGTGTGGTCTGTGATGCCTGTGAGCTTACTTGTCAGACGCTTTTCAGGTCTTCATCAAAGACTACGCAATCTAGACATAGATCAAAAAACATACTTTATTTTTTTTTTTTCATATGTTCCTGCTGTAGTAACATACCAGTTAAGGCTAGAAAGACTTAAGCTAATTCATTTTGCTGTAAAACAAAAGCAATCACTTTTTTTTTTTCTAAAATTCTCGTAAGAAACATGGAAAATAAAATTTAATTAATATTTTCTCTTATTTAAAATTGGTGCTGAAATTGTGCCTGGCTATTACTGACCATTTCAGCTTTGTGAACTGTTAATCTAATACCTTCATTTTCTGACTTTCCAATTCTCAATTTTTAAAAGCTTTTCAGTCATGCTTTTAATAATGTTTTCAATTAATGTATATCTGTTTATCACCTGCATTTGAAAATGCAAATTCTTTGTCAAATAGTGAAAAATACATAAATTGCCCAGATTTGTCATCTTACGGGTACAGAGATTTTTCTTACCTTTCTTATGTCTCATTTCAGGTGGTGTGCTGAAGGTGGAAATTTGATTTGCTGTGACTTTTGCCATAACGCCTTCTGTAAAAAGTGCATTTTGCGCAACCTGGGTCGAAGGGAGCTATCAACTATACTGGATGAAAATAACCAGTGGCACTGCTATATTTGCCATCCAGAGCCTTTGTTGGACTTGGTCACTGCATGTGACAGTGTCTTTGAAAATTTAGAGCAGTTACTGCAACAGAACAAAAAGAAGATCAGAGTTGAAAGTGAAAAAAGCAAAATATATGACCATATAGTCAAATTTTCTCCAAAGAGAAATAATTCAAATTGTAATGGTGAAGAAAAAAAACTAGATGGTTCGTGTTCAGGTTCACTAACGTACTCTTATAAAGCACTAGTGGTGCCAAAAGACTTGATTAAGAAAACAAAAAAGCTGATTGAAACTACGACAAATCTGAATTCTAGATTTGTAAGCTTTTTGAAAACCGCTGCGGAAAATGTAGAAATAAGCCCAAGTCTGCAACTTTATCAGCTAAAAGCTTTTAAAGCTGTGTTGAGTGACATGAAAAAAGCTCATCTGGCGCTAGAAGAAGGTCTAAACCTGGAGATTCAAGCTTTGAATGTTAAAATCAAAGATAAAAATACCAAAGAGAAAAAAAATGATGTTAGATCAGAAAAGAGTGAGGTGAGAAAAGATGAAGGGAAGGAACATGTGGCATTAAAAGAGGGTGACACCGTAAAGACACAGAAAAAAGTTGAATCAGAACAGCCTGACAGTGAGCCTATGGATCAAGGTGTTCCAGCAACGGAACAAGCAGCTAACAAGCGTACTTCTGGCGAAGATAAAAGGTCTGGCAGAAATGAGGAACCTCAGTATGAACCTAATAGTACAGAGGCTTTAGACATGGATATAGTGTCTGTTCCCTCATCTGTTCCTGAAGATATTTTTGAGACTCTAGAATCTGGTATGGAGATTCAGATTCCATCAGATGAACAAGACAATGGAAATACTGGAACAGATCACGAGGCTGTAAATTCAAATACAAAATCGAACACTCCTGTGAAAGATACCAAAGGCGGTACTAAGTTAAAATCATCGGCTAAAGGAACAAAGGAATTGATTGTAAAATTGACTCCTGTTTCCCTCTCAGAGTCTACAGTTAAAGCTGAAGATCAAGACAGCAGTCTAGAAAAGGGAAGTAAGGATGCTGATGTGATACCTAGGGCAGAAAACTGTGATTCTGCAAAACAAAATCATAAAGCTGGCAGTGAACCTTCCATGGAGAACGAAACTGTCTCACTCGCAGAAGAATCCGATCTCAGGAGATCACCACGTGTGAAGACCACGCCTCTGAGGCGCCAGACAGACATCAGTCCTTTAACATCAAATTCAGAAGAAGATAGCAATGACACCTGTAATGAAAAACGCAAGAGAAAAACATCGAAACAACCAAGGAGGGAAAAGGATAAAAGAAATTCTTCCGACAGTACTGTTGATGGTCCTAGCCCTAATAAACTTTCTAAATCAAAAAAGCAGTACGTGTCAGATCATGGCTCGGATTCTGATGAGATGCCGGCTGTTCTTAAAGAAGTAGCTATGATGAATCACAGTTCTTCAGATATAGACAGCAATAGTGAAGCACCAACAAATGATCAGAATTCTTTAAATTTTCTAAAGAATCAACCAGTAAAGGATGAAAACGGAAAACGAAAAAGAAAAAGTTCCAGTTCTGGTTCAGATTTAGACGCTAAAAGAGGCAAATCGGCTAAAAATGCTGCTGCTAAAAAGAAACGACAAAACTATTCGGATTCTTCAAACTATGATTCTGAGTTAGAAAAAGAAATAAAAATTTTGAGTAAAATTGAGTCTGCAAAAAAAGCTAAGAAAAAGTACTCACGAAAAGAAGATAGTTATTCCTCTGAAGAAGAACAGAGGAAAAAAGTAAGTAGCAAGAGAAAGATAAATTTGAAGAAACAGAGGGGTAAATCTTCTGAAGATGACGATGCTGAAAAGTCTTCCCCAGAGAAAGAGATTAATGATTCTTCTAAAGATAAAAAAATTGGAAAGGGGTCAGCTGCGAAGGAAAGGATAAACAGGGACTTAAGAGAAAAAACTGTGAAGGGAAAGCACGATGAGTCTTCTGATGTTGAGAAGTCTTTACTGGAGGAAGAGGAGAGTTGTCCTAAAAGTGTAAAGCTAACTAAAGTTAAGAAGAGCAAGGATTTGAAAAAGAAAAAGGCACTGGAAGGTTCTTCTTCAGAAAGCACTGAGAAATCTGCGAAGAAAGAGCACAAGTTTGATTCCTCAAAAGACAGATTCAGGAATAAAAAAGGATCAGAAAGCAAAGCAAAGAAATCTGAAAAATTGAAGAAGAAAAGTTACGAGAAAGAACAAGATGATTCTTCTTCTGATGTTGAAAAGTCATCTCCCGAGAAAGGAAGTTGCAATTCTTCTGAAAATGACAAAACTAAACCCAAACCAATGTTTAAAGAAAAGAAAAGGAGGAATTTAAGAGAGAGAGTATCTAAAAGAGTAGAGATTGATTTATCCTCTGATGCTGAGAAATCTCCCCTAAAAGAGGAGAGTTCTTCTGAAGATGCTGCACGGAGTAAAAAACAAACTGAAACTAAAGAAAAGAAAAAAAAAAGTCACAAAAAGAAGATTTCCAAGAAAGAACAGAATGACTCGTCCTCTTCTGATGAGGAGTCTTGTGAAGACAGTAAGAAAAAGATTAAAAGAGAGTCAAAGAAAGAGAGTAAAAAGAGTAACTTAAAAAAGAAAGTGTCAAAAAAGAAGGTGGTTGTCACTTCCTCTTCCTCATCTGATAAGGAAGAAAATGATGAACAGAATTCAACAGGTGATGGAAGCAATGATGAGCAGAAGATTATGCCAGTGACTGAAAACTTAATACTGTCTGCTGGTACAGGATTTTGTCAGTCATCAGGTGTGCAAAAGATACTAATCTACACTTATTATTAATGTACTAACAGAGGAAACTTGTAAGATTTGGGTGACATTTAATAATCTAGAGGTGAAAATATTCCTAACTGGGTGATTATGCATTTAAAGGTTTGCAGCCAGTTAGGTTTTCTGATTTGGAAGCGCTCGTTTCAGTTTGTGCCGCTTGTCACTTATGGAAGAAAGGATGTCACTGTGCACAGAGGGCCTTGAGAAGCTGTATAGTCTGTAATTCCAGCAGGTGTTTCCTGGCAGCACAGCTTTCGAAAGCCTGTTCCTCTCTTTGGCTGCCCAGGTACTATTGAACCAAAACCTGGTTTTAAGCAGTTGGTATTGGTGAACTCCAATTTGTCAGCTCGTGGTTATGCCCTAGAGATGACTCTGAAGGCCTGTGTCATTGTATTGCACATTTTAAAAATCGAGTAGATGATCTTTACACCTCACAAGACCCACGTGGCCTTAGAGCAGCTGGTGTCAGGTAACAGAAATCTGTCGTCGCTTACTGGTTTTGTAGCAGGTTTAGTAGTCGTAAGTATTTTTTCTTGCCGGGATGGGACCACTTCATCAGTGGTTTATATCTTTAGGAAATTAGAAATTCAGAACCGCTGAATTTGAATGCTTGGTTTTAAAGAACTTAAAAAGGAAGGTTAGTTTTCGCGTTACATGGACAGTATACACGTTTTTAATAAATTTTCAACTAGAAAAAAATGAAATCTACTTGCTGTTTTAATTACCATGACAGGTAAATTGTTTCCTGTTCGTTTGCTTCTAATTATGTTTCATAGAGCTTTCTGTACATTGTTTTTACTGTATCTGAGCCAGCAGTTACAGCAGTTTGCAAAGCTGCGACTAAACAAAAACTGAATAAAACAGCAATAAGTTTATGAAGCTAGCAGAAGGGCCGTTACTGCATTTTGGCTTCCCTGAAAAGCCCTTGTAGGCAGACGCTAAATGCAAAATGAGATGATTTTTTGTAGTTTTTTGAACAAAAAAGAAACCCCAAAAACCCAGCTCCGTGGGTTGGCTGTCGTGTATCAGGTGTCTGAGGCAACGGGAGCGATTGTTGGTTTTGCAAGTCACAAGGTTGGCTGGTTATTGGATGGGAGAGACAGCTGACTGTGCAAATTGGAAAAGTGAGCTGGTGATGGGGGATGATTGACAGTAGAGGCAGACTGAGAGAGGAGTAGGTTGGTTTAGCCTGGAGAGAGAATGCTAAAAACCAGGAGTCTTAATTGCTGTCTTGTAATCACCTAATGGGTGGTTACAGAGAAGGCTGAGCCGGATGCAGGGCAAGGGGATGTGAGAGGCTGTGGATACAAGTTTTGGCAAGGAAAACCCTGATGAGATACTAGGAAAAAAAATTCTTTATATTGAGGCTGATCAAAGCCCAAAACTGATTGCCCTGTCAAATTGTGTAATTCCTGTCCTTGGAAATACTCAAAACTTGACTGGCCAAGACTGTGAGAAAACTGACCTCACTCTGGAGTTAGCTCTGCTTTGAGGATGGCGTTGGAGTAAACTGTGTCCGGAGGGCTCTTCCAAACTGGGTTGTTGTGTGATTCTACGAGAATCTGCCTTTGTTATTTTAAGAGGCAAACTTGCCCTTTCTCTTCAGTTTGCTTTTGGCTTAATAGGTGAATAAATAAAGGAGTCTGGGGGTTTTTTTTGCATCTGAAGAAGCTACGTAGGTTGATCATTGAATAAGAGTCGAATCTGGTTTAACCAACAGGATACATCTATTTATCTACATCCAAGAGTGAGGGACTTTATGTGATCACCTCTTACGCAGACCTCTCGGACGTCTGGCTGGTGGTCATTGCAGGACAAGTGTACGTTAAATCGAGCTGGAGCAAGCCTCTCACAGCCTAGTTTTAGTCGGCTCCTCTCAGGTAGAAAATGAACAGTAGAAGTTGTGAAGGAGGGGATCGATCGCAGCTCATTAGGATTTTGAGGTGTCTTTTCCTAAGCTTAATTTTACAAACTAGCAGGTTTGACTTATATGCAAGTCAGAAGAACGAGAGAAAGGAAAGGGGAAAGGCCTGGGAGTGTGCTAGAAATAATCTGAGTTCTTCTCAGTTCACCCAGGAGAGTGCAGGGGAGCTTAAAGGCGGGTGTTGTGCTGTGCTGTTCTTTCTCTGTTGTGTATCCCATGCGGTTGGTTTCCACGTGCTTTCCGAATGAGACAGTATCCATGTGGTGCAGCCGAGTTTGGATATTGGCAGTAGGGATAGCACGTGTGGTGTTCAGAACGTGGATCTTCACACACATACAACAAATGTACATGTGTTTGATACTCTGAAAGCGAAAACAGGGAAGGATTATTGTTCTCAAGGACTTCTTAATGGCAGCAGGGTAGCTGGTAAGCTTGGTAGGCGATTCTGTAATACATTTGCTTGGGCCTTCTTTTCGATTTACACAAATTTAGTAGTGGAGCTGCTGAAATGGAGCTAGTAGCTTCTTGGGAAGCTTCATTTCTGAGTGGAGTATTCAGTCTCAGTATGTTTTGGTGTAAAAAACCCCAGATTTCATGGGACGTGATAAGGAAAGAACCGCAAGTTGTGTTCGGTAGCAAGCATAATGTGGATAAAAGTGCTGCTTGAAAAACAAAATACTTTTGTTAATAAAAATATACATCAAGATTGGTAACTGGCGTTTTTGTTTGATAGTAGAAAGGTGGTGGTACTGGGATTCTTGATGGAGACCGTAGTTCATGTGCTGTGTTGTTTATTGCTGATTTTACAAGTATTAAATGTTCATGTCTTCTGGTTTTTTGTTTCCCCTTCCTCCCCCAGGAGATGAGGGAGAGACTAAATCAAGGGCTGTTCCAGTGGAGGAGGAGGAAGATGATGATGATGACGATCCTGAGAATAGGTATGATACCATCCATAAGGACATAAAAAAGATTATAACACACCCTAGGCGTGGGCGCAAACCAGCACAACGGAAGAGCAAGCAGGTTGTAAAAACCACGACTGCCTGCGCTGTAAAGACTCGCTCGTGGGCTTCCTGCAAGTTTGAACAAGGGGCCAGAAAACAGAGGCCAAAATCCAGAAATGCAAACAGAGTATTTAGAAATGTTCACTAACACACCTTGCATAGGGTGTGTTATAAATGCACTGCAGCACTGTCCATTTTATGTTCCCGTTGAAAGTGTGAGGTTTGTGACAAGTGTTTCGTTCAGGCAGGTAAAAACCTACTTCTGATAAATGTGAATTCCAGCTAGTTACGTGAATAGAAAGTAAAAATTTGCATCTGTGCAATATGCAGTGCTAAGATATTTTCAGATTGAGCTTGGTTCTTACTGTTGCATAATTTCCTTTTTAAATTCCTTAATAAAGAGAAGACACAAATGTGGAGAAAATAGTATTAGATATTTTAGCTGTTAATTAAACTGACTTTTAATCCACTAAAGAACACCTGAAGTGACTAATGTGGTAGTTAAGCCCTGATTCTACAAGCACTGTGCACAGGATCAACTGGTATCAAAGAGACTGTTTAGACCTACACATTTTAAGTCTTTGCATAGATTTTTTCAGAACTGTGGCTTCTATGTCTTGCTTCAGTTTCGAGGTCAATAAAAACGAATCAATGTAAGATATAGTTAGTTAAGACTTGTTATATTTTACCAGTACCATTGTAGTTATCAAACGTAGCCTGGCTAGAAAATGCAGAAGCTTTGTTTCCTAAGGAGTGAATGCACAGCATGAAGTATTGCTCAGTTACAAGCCACAGTTTCTTTTTGGAAGTTATTGTAGAGAGACTAAAGAGTTGTTCAACAAATTTTTATACAGTATTTTAGAAACTGGGTTGGTTTTTTTTTCGCTCTGTAGCGTGTATGGGACCAGCTTCATAGCTTTGCACAGTTGCTGGTGGAGTCTTTCTGCTTCTGAGCCTTACTAGTTTAGAACGTGGTCTCTGTTTCACAGAGTTGTATGTTTTGATCTGTGGCTGAAGTAACTTTTAAAAACACTGTTTTAGATCCTTTATGGACCTCAGTTTGGCATCAAAATGTTGCTGCTGATGTAGTTCTTGCTTGTTTTCACTCATCAAATTTAATTAGGTCAGCTCTTAAGGAAGGATGCTCTTCAGGGACTTGACAGCATAGGGTCATAAGCAGAACATGTAAACATTGGTAATACAAGATTTTTTTAAATGATGCTTTAATTTCAGTCCTGTTTTGATTATTTTTTTCCCTTCATTTTTTGTTTAAGTGTTTCTGATTGATAACTAAGCCCATGCACTTCTGTCAAAGTCCAGTGTTAACCATACAAATGTTACCGACAGATCTTAATTCTTAGTTTAAGAGCTGTATTGGGAAATGATTTAACCCAATTGATAACAAACAAATCAGTAATATGAATTTGGGATTTAAAAATCAGTTTCTGTACTTTTTAAGCTGAATCTTTGTTGAAGTTTTTATTTAGGGAATATTTTGAATATATATGAGATGGGGAGGTATTTTGTCAATAAACAGTTTGTCAACCTTCAGACATGTTAACCGGTAACTGCAGTCTGATTTTACATTCATCACGCGTTGTACTTGGCACCAGAATCAGATCTATAACATGTAAAAAGATGGAACAAATTTTGAGAAGTTAAAAGCTTGTTCTTCTGTTTACTCAACACAAAGTGTTTAAATAGTTTACCTACTATTCAGATAAGTTGCCTATTTTCTTCCAGGCCAAAGAGGGTACTACGTAGTACCCACTGGGTATTTGTAGTGTGGGAACTCTCATGTTTGCAAGTCTCTAGTTTAGATGTTCTGTTATTTGCATACCTTTGGATGTGCATGACATGAATATTAATAGTCTTGAAGTCATCTTTGCCAAAATGCAATATCCAAGTGGGTCATAATATGACATACAGTGCTGTATGCTTTCATCTTATGTTGTATAATTATCTATTATATAATAATATCTATCTCATAAATTCTGATCTTTTAAATGGTACTGTTTAATATGTTTGCAGTAGTTGTGTTTATTAAGAAGTTAATAGTGTATTTCATACAGAATGCCTTTAAGTATTTGATGGTTGCAATAAATTTTTGTAAAACATTTTTCTTGTCCAAGCATTTAATTTAATACAACTCTGACAGCTTGAAAATCGGACTGTTTCGACAAAGACAGTACAGTGTTTAGAACAAGGTGTTTGGCAGTTTTCAATATTTTTTTTTTTAAACATGTATGACATTTCATCCAAATACTCACTTTTAAAATATATTAAAGGTTCTAAATTTTTAGCAATATGCTAAAGGCTCGTGTAATTCAGTAGTGCTCTAGCTGAAAGAATGGTGGCTTTTATTAGCCACGTAGAAATGCCGCATCCGCCCCCGGCAAAGGCTTCTTTTGGGCAACCTTATTTCTACATAAAATTAGTAGGTATTTATGAACACTACGTGTGAGTTGATGTCATCTAATTGGTAATAATATGTCACAATAATTAACTAATATTTAAAACTATGACCTTCTAAGAAGAAAAATTATTTTTACAGTGGCAGCATTGTCTCACCAAGATTTTTGACAATCTATAAATGAGTCCATTATATTGACACTGTAATCCATGAACAAGAATGGTGCAAATTACCATGTGGACTTTGACTCCACGTCAGGAGAGGCTGCACCTACTGTTCCAGTTTTGCTGAAATGTCTGAAGGGTAATTTAAAGTAGTCCTATACTGTGACTGAACAACCCCTGGGTAACTTCTAGTTTGCCTGTCTCTTTTAAAAAAGGTTTTCTTTTAAGGAAAAGTTAAAAAATACGTAGTAACCAATTCATTATTTAGAAATGCGTGTTGTTGGTGTCATTCTTACAAGGGTGAAATATATTTAAATCCAGATTTATGTAAAATACATACATACTGTTATTGTAGAGGAGTTTTTCGATGTCCTGGTTGAGATTACAGTCCCATTCCGTAAGGCACTGTATAAATATGTGTTGGGAAAACATCCTTGATATAGATCTCATGATATGTTTGGGTAAGCTGGAGTGGGGCTAGGCAACATGACATGCTCAAAGTCACAGCAGATTAGTGGCAGAAATGAATAAAATGCAGATTTTATTTATTTATTTATTTATTTATTATTTTTTTTTATACTATTTGAAGTCCTGTGCTGGAGGTCATCCAGCTCTCTGTGCTTCTTAATTAAATTTGTTGTTAGTGTTCAACTGTTACATCTGGTTGGCCAAGAACATCTTTTATGTCCTTGATCTGAGTCAATATTATGATATCTTTTGATTTTCATGGGTTTCTCTGGAAGAATGAGAGGGGGGAAGCTTTCACACTACCATAGCTTGTTTTTTCTTGGAAATTGGAGTTTGATGTTAATGCAAATATTAAAATGTAAAAGATAGTGTATGAAGTTTCTTAGCTTAGAAACCTGATCGCTTTAAATGGGTTTATATCTTAAAATAGAAATGTGATGTATTATCCTGAGCCACATATAATTTCATTTAAAACCACTTTCAAGAGTCCAGCACTCAGTTTATTCTGATTCATATAAGCCATTTCTTCCATCTGTCATTTGTCAGATGCATTTGCAAGACTTTATCTGTTTGGTTCTAATATTACTTACACTTTTAATTCCTATCAGATACGTAGTTACATTAAAAATAGGAATCTTTTAAATTCTGAACATCTCAATGTCTTGTATTTTTAGCCTAACAGCATACCAGTAGAACACCTTGAAGAGAATGTAGCTTTCTTTCACTAAACAAACAGTTCATCTCAGTTTGATTCAAACTGGTTGAATCTAGCTAAAAAATATGCCTTAATTTTCTGTCTCAGAGTATAAAAGCAATAACTTATTAATCAATATTATTATAAATAATTAATTAGAAACTAATAAGTTTACCCAATTGGGTTGGTGGTTACAATGTAGGAAAAGAACAGCATCTTCTGTTTCTGGATAGTAGATTTTGTGCATGGCATTTTTAGGTGGATGATACATTTGGATTTTGGTGATTTTTTTTTTTTTTCCTTAAAAAATATTTCATAGAAGAACAAATAAAAATGTATGTCGTCTTTTTGTTAAGAACCAAAGTCAACCTTTGTTCAAAAACATAGAAATAAATTTTTAAAGGTGACTTGCATGAAAGGTAAGTGTCGTTATCCAAGTACAAGCTGTGTTAACTTCGCTAATGTGATTGAGGACAATCCAAAATAAGGCAAAGGCAGTATTGCTAGTAGTGCTTTCAGGACTGAAGTTAAAAATTTTGCCGTTCTTTTAGTGTTTCGACTTTTTTTTTCCTCTTCCAAAGCAAAACTTGGGTGATGATGTTATTTTTTTAAACAAGAAGAGTAGCCAAACTGCTGCCGCCTGCATTTCCTGGAGCAGGATTCGAGGTTAATAATTAACGTTAAGAGCTTTTAAAGAGAATCCAAGCTGTGATATTCCAAGCAGTTTCATTTTGAAGAAAAAGTTGTTCTGACCATTAAGAGATGGAAGAAGTATAGTCTTAATTAATATAAGGAGCTGTTTATTCCTGTTGCTGTTATACATGATGTGGTGGGTTTAAAAAACAACCAACCAACCAACCACTAACAGCAAAAAACCTGAGTCCCTTCTCCAAATCCTCTGGAAGGACCTAATGCAAAAAACATTTGGAAGAGGATGTTACTAACCTATGGACTTTAGTAAGTTTTCATTGGGTTCACACTGTGATCTGTTGATATATATGGAAATAAAGCTGACCAACAGTACTGCGTTGTAAAATTTTAATCGGCTGTTTCTTCACAAGCCATTTCTCAAAAGAGGGGGGTGTTTTGAATGCTGATGGACAGTTGTCGACTCACTGAGCAATCTTACATGTTTATTAAACCATTTTACTTCTGTCTTTTAATAATAAGTGGATATAGATTAGCGTTAGAATCTTTTTGCAAAATATACTACCACTCAAAACCCCGAAAGTACCGTATGAAGTATTGGGAAAGATACCTTGGGAAGATTCCCTTTGAGAAGTTCCTGTGTTTTAGGGACATGTTAACATGCTGAAGAATGAAACATAAATTCTTTAAAAGTTCTAGTGCTATGTAAAATTAACAACTTAATTTTCTAATATATAATAATGTGTACTTAGGAGATCAGTGTCCCTTTGCCATTGCCAAGTGAAGCCTAAACTGTGGTGCAGCTTCGTTATTTTTTGAACTATTGTTTTGCCTGGTATAAAATTCTCGTTCTGAACTATGTATATACCTTAATTCTCCTGAAAGGCGAGACAGACCAGATTTGACCTAGGGAAAAAAAAAAAAATTGTTTAAAGTTGACAGCCATGGAATGAAAACGATAATATTTCTGATATTTATATGAGGAAGGCCTGGTTTTATTTTCAGGACTTTTTTTTCCACTAGTAGTATGACTTCTCAGATAAGTCCACTATTTTCCTGTGCTTTTGCCAGACCATTTTATATTTTGCCTTGGATAGATTCTTACAAGACTTTTTTTGATACTGCAAGATCATGTAAAGAAATCATTTGTCCATAGTAACTTCTTGTATGTTAGCAGAAAACTGCCTTGTGCTGAAATGAAACTGAGAAGCCGAGTGAACAGTTTGTGGAACAGGAACTAAGATCGTAATTTTTCTTTGAAGTTCAGTTCTCATAATGTTTGATAAATTTTTGGGGTGTGTATATACACATACATTGGTTTTGCTATAGTTGCTATAAGGCAAGTGCTTGTAGTTATATGAGGGATTCAGTGTGGGGATTTTTTTTCCCTGAGGCACTTCGTATCAGTCCGCCTTGAGATGTCAGGAGTTCCTTCATTTACTGCAGCATCTCTTGTGCAGTGGAGTGGGCCCAGGCAATCAGAATGGTAACGCAGCAGAAGGCAAGCTAGGTAGATGTAGGGTAATAAATTGTCTTATTTTTCTAAAAAAGCTGTGAGTTACTGTGTATTGCAATAATCTTTTTCTTGTTTAAAACATGCATTCAGTGATAGACTGGTTTTAAAACTGTTGCTCTTTACATACCCACTAGTCGAGTAGATTCAGTGCCTCAGGAAATTAATCTAATTGATTTAAATCGGCTAAGCCTGAGAACCGTTTTTGGGAGGAATGATTTGAGTATTAGGATTCGGTTTGCAGCATCTTCATGTTCTTGTTACAGTTAGAATTCATGTAGGTGCCTATCCTTGAACCAACAGGTGTCTGTCCAAATAGACCATGAACAAAATGAAATGTTTAAGTTTGTGTATTTTATAGCTATCTCCAGTCTTGCTGTAAAGCGTGAAACTTCTTTTTTAAGAAGCATTATACAGGTTTGCTTTCTAAAAGCAAGTTAACACGTTACATTTCACATGAGATTTTTGCTGATGTATTCTGTCTTGCACAATGACTTTTCATCACGTGTCTCTCTTTTTGTTCAGCTTTCAACCCTTTTTTTGAAGTTCTGAATGGTATAGGATTACACTTATCGTTCGTAGATTTACTTGAACAGTGGAATAAATAGGTTTTTCTGTTTCACTTCAAAGAATTGCCAAGAAAATGCTTTTAGAAGAAATCAAAGCCAATCTTTCCTCTGATGAGGATGCATCTTCAGATGATGAGTCGGATAAAGGAAAAAAGAAAACTGGGAAGCAAAATGAAAACACAGGAGATGATGGTGAGAACCAAAAAGCATCTGGGAAAAAGTGATGCTGTAGCACCTGTCATAAATTCCAAGGTCACTTGGGAAAGTTACAATTACTAAAGTTTCTTCAGTTTTCAACAAAAAAATGTTACTGATATTGTTAGTTGCCAAATAGAGGCCAATGTACATGATCATGAGGATTATCATCTCTTTAACTCCTCTGTAAGTGTATTTTTTTGTTAATAGTCTGATTTTTGTAACCAATTCAGAAGCCCTAGGGGGTTGTGAGGAGTAATCTACACAGAACAGTAAGATGAGCAAATGCACAGGAGAGATTTGACTAACATCCAGTCGTGGGAACAGATATTCCGAGTGTTCAGGCAGCATAGAGTACTTAAAGTGTGAGGGAACAATGTATGTTGTTGCCTGCAATTTCCTGGAGAAGCACAGAAGTTAGCCTAAATTAATTTAGATTTTAATTCTTGACAAATTTAAGTACAGAAAAAAAAAATGACTGGTGTGCATGTTGTGCTGACTCTTATTTCTGACAGAAGAGAATGAAAAGGAAGATAATTCTGAATCAGATTCAGAAGAAGAAGAAGAAGAATCGAAGAAGCCCAGATACAGACACAGACTGCTGAGGCACAAGCTGACAGTGAGTGACGGAGAATCTGGTGAAGAAAAAAAGGTGAAACCAAAAGACAAAAAAGAAGGGAAGCGCAGAAATAGAAGGAAAGGTACGTAATCCGAACGGGTTTTGTCACAAAAAGTACTTGCTTCTATGAAATAAGTCCAAAGCGTGTCAGAATGGAGATCTGAAACTCCATAATTTTAAAATCTCTGTATAAACTTTCTTGTATTTTAAATCTAGAATTCTCTTATCCGTGTTTGATAAGTAGTTTTATTTAAAATGTTGAATGCAAATGCAGCGCTCTCCACTGAATTGTATCCTCTGATTTGGATTAATCTTGTTGAGTCTTAGACTATTAATCTTGAATAAGAGGCAAGCCCAGTATGTCTGATTTGTGAAAATCAACCTCGTTCTTTAGTGATTTCTCTCTTTTAACTGGGGCTGTTAGTAAGCCCTTCTGCATCAAAAATTTCTCCATCCTACAGTTCCCGTGTTGCAAGCTGTAGTTGAACACCAGGTGGCACTGCGAAATGATGCTTGGCTGATTTTTCATTTGCGCTGTTGCATGCAAGAACAAAGAATCTGTCAGGCCCTTGTGTTTAGTTGTTTTGAGCCGAGAAGGGGAGCGATAGTCAAGATAAATGCTTACTGCCGTGCTGGTCAGTGCAGGTGTTGATCGTGGGAGTAAGGGGGCACTGTACCTTTCCTGTCCTTGGTGTTGCACTCATGTTAGCCACCTTTTGCGGTCTTCTGCAGACTAAAGATGCCGTGGGATTTGTTTATCTTTTTCCTTCGTGAAATATCTCATTTGTGTCTGAATGTATATTCATGCTTTTCCTCCTTTACGGAATTATAACCCTACTAACCACATTTATTTCAAGAAAATGAATTGTAAATTACAGTAGCAGAGTGCAAATAAGATGCAGCCAGGCTAATTCTCAGAATTCTTTCATGTAAGTCTTTTAAGTTGACCAGTCTCAAGGAGAACAATATACTTCATTACAGCTTGCTGGTTTTTTAGTTCTGTGTTACTAACATTGCATTTCCCCATGTATGTGAAACAATCCTTGTTCTAAGCCTTGTGACTCAGAAAACAGTTAGGCTTTCCACTGTGTTCAAGGTCAAACTGAAACTACAAAGGTGCTGAATGGCATGCTGGTCTTAATTACCTATAAATACCAGTGATAGCTCCTAAAAGTAGTTATGGAAGTATTACCTAGTGCTGCTATTTTTGTCTTTTGAGTCAGTTTTAAACCTGTATGACCTGAAGAAACGCCAAGCCATAAATACAGTAATAGAATTGCCTGTGTTGTTAGTAAATAAGGGTTGTTTGCCTGAATTGTGAAGTGTGATTATAAAGTTACATCTAAAATGTTTGAAACAAAAGCTTTTGTTTCACTGAAAATAATTTTTTTTGTTTTCTGAAGTTCTATACTGTTCCCCATTGTGTTCTCTCCTCCTCACCCTGTCTTTGAAATCTGCTGCTTCCCAATGTAACGCTTTCTGTCGTTTTGCTTGCAAACTATACTTAGATGTGCTTATGCGTAAAGACCTCAAGTCTCGTTGGCATAATATGCCTGAGTCTATCAGGACTCAGCTAGTGCTGACATGTTACACTTCTCTACTCTGTACCCCTTATATTCCTGTTGCTTCTTAGTGTTTCATGGGCCATACGGTCCAAAATGAACTTCTGCTGTGCTTGCCGATCTCAGACAGTTTGTTGAAGACACATAGTGTTGCTGACTTTGCAGTAATACTCAACATGAAATCATGCTTTATTTTTGAAGTGAGCAGCGACGATTCAAATGACTCCGAGTTTCATGAATCTGCAGTTAGTGAAGAAGTCAGTGAGTCTGAAGATGACCAGCGTCCAAGAACAAGGTACAAATAAAACTTAACTGTGTTCATCCTGTGTTTGGTTTTGGTTTTTAATAGTGCAATTTAGGCAGTGAGATGGTAAAATTTAAAGGCTTTGGATCAGTCCTTAAAACTGTTGATGATACTTGTCTATAATTTGGTATTTCTGATTAACTTCCCAGCAAATGTGAGAATTTTGAATTTGCACCACAGTAGGTGGTACACAGTGATTTGATGAGCCAGTACGAAAAAAAGATTAACACAAAATTGGCATTTCGGTGCCAAATGTGTCAGTGTCAATTGGGGAATGGTGGATTGCAGTAGAAAACTAATACTTAACAATTCTGAGATTCTTCTGGGTTGTCTGGAATAGACTGTTGCTATGTGTGTGCAGTGAGTTGAGGCGGAGGAAGGAATTCGGAAGTAAACCCCTGATGGCATAAAAGGAGTATATATTCTGTTAATTAGCAGTGCAGTTCATGGTGGTGGGTTTTTTTTTTTAATAGGTCTACCAAAAAAGCTGAGGTGGAAGAAAACCAGCGCAGTTACAAACAGAAAAAGAAACGAAGGCGTATAAAGGTTCAAGAGGATTCTTCAAGTGAAAACAACAATAAGGTCCTATATTGTGTTTTGAATTAATAAATGGGAAAAGGAGTTCCTCTCTTTCGCCAACTGCTTAGGGGCTTTGGTATCTCAGACAGCTCTGTACAAAGTACAGTAAAAAATTCTAACTTTTCTCAGTGTTAATTCTGTGCTGAAATCTGTGAAATGGCACCATTATGGAGAAGAAATGTTGCATTTAACTAAAACCGTTTCCTGTCTAGAGCTTGATAAAAAGGCGTGATATCTTTTAAGTAAATGGAATTTTTAAATTAAACATAAAAAGTGACACAAATAGTAGATTAAGGCTTTCCTAGTATTAGGGTTTCTTCTTCTATGTGGAGTAGGTGATAGCTGATCTGACCTACCACCACTAGGACAGAATAATTCTTTATTAGTAGTCATTAATTACTGTCAAATGGTAACAGTACCTTCAGTACTGCCTTTGCACGGCTGGGCTTAGCTTTAGTGTCTCAGAATACATTACAGTTAAGGTGGTGTGCTGGCTAAATTGTTTTATATAAAATATCTTATGAGCTAAACTCCACTTGTGTATATAAAAATTTTTGGGAGCTTGTCTAAAAATGAAGGATTTGATGGTCTGTGCTGTAATTTACTTGCTAATACTTCGTTTATTTAATTTGTAATAGAGTAATTCTGAGGATGAGGACAATGATGATTCAAAATCTCCTGGAAAAGGCAGGAAGAAAATAAGGAAAATTATTAAAGATGATAAGCTTAGAACAGAAACGCAAAATGCACTTAAAGAAGAAGAAGAAAGAAGAAAACGTATAGCAGAAAGAGAACGGGAGAGAGAGAAATTGAGAGAGGTATGTTCTGTTTTCTTTGCAAAATGCTAGGAAGTTGAGTTGTTGATGATGTTTAAAATGACGTATTTCTACCTCAATTTAATTTGATAAGTAATTTTAAAAGTACTTATATGTAGCCTTGTAAGCCACAAGTTTTATTTGTAGTTTCCTGCAGGTTAACATCTGTAAGTTTTACTTAAGACTACTGAAATCTTGTAGAAAGCTGTTTCAGTTGCCTACTGCTTTACTTTCCATGGGGAAAAGCACTCTCCCAGTAAGTTGTGATGCGTAGTAAAGAATTTAAAGTTTCTCTTTACTTAATAAACTCTGACTTCCCATTTTACTAAAGCTGTGTCTGTCAAATGCTTGGTGTTATTGACGTGTGAAGTTTTCCTGTGATGCCCTGTTTCTGCTCATAGGTGATAGAGATAGAAGATGCTTCGCCTCTGAAGTGTCCCATTACAACTAAGCTGGTTTTAGATGAAGATGAAGAAACCAAAGAACCATTAGTGCAGGTTCACAGGAGTATAGTTACCAGACTGAAACCACACCAAGTAGATGGTAAGAAAGAGAGTTTTAAAAAGACTCTTTATTTTTTCTCCCCTCCACTGGCACATCACCTTATACAACCTGAATTAGAATCATAAGAAGAACTGCTTGGCAGGCAAATGCCAGAATGTCAAGGTTAATGCTTTATTTTTGGGAAATCTGAACAGAAGTAAACGAGATCAGCAATCCATAGGTCTGTTTTACAAGCAAAGAACCTTAGAAATGTAAAGTTAGAAGGGTCCTCAGAATCATGTAATTCTCCGCACTGAGGCAGAATCAAATATATGTTTACCCATTCTATTGAGGAATTGATTTGTTCACTTTTTACAGTTTTCAGTGAAGATCTAAAAATCTTGCAGTATTTTCCTGGTTTTCTCAGCAGAAATTATTTTTTTTATGATAGCTGACATGACTGCAAACCAAGCCAACTTCTCTCCACATTCTGTTTCTAGTGAAGAAAGAGAAAAGGAGAATAACCAGTCATCATTTTCTTCACAGCTCGTTCTGTTATCTTAAATTTTGATCAAACTTCATAATCTACGATCTTTCCGTTTTAGTAAGAAACTTTAGTAAGTAACTTGCTTCAGGTCTTAAAGGGAGGTCCCCTGAACCAGACACAGCAGTCAGGTTGAAGCCTTATCTGTGCTGAGTATAGCATAGAAGAATATGACTCCCCAGTAAATACATCCCAAAGGACAAAAAATCACCCAGCAGACCCTCATGTTGTTAATGAAGTTTGTTATGGAGCGTGTATTTCCTTTCCTGTTTCAGCTCTCACAGTTCTTACTTGATTTTTTTCCCCTCTTTGAGCTTAGAACTTCACATCTGATCTGTCTTGGCAGAATTTCTTCTAATTGGTAAATTAGCAAAATTATCTGAAACCAAGAGTATTTCAGTCTTCTCATGAAGTCCTTGCCACTTTTTGTTCTGCCTCCTGTTTTATCCCCGTCCCCAAGATCACGGTTATCTGCAGTCTGCACAGTGATATTTTCTAAACCAGTTGCCCCATCTTCAGTGAAAACTGTGAATATAATTCAGTTCAAGACAAAGATAATCCCACATAAAACCCATTGGACAGAAATGAATCGGTATTTATCCTGAGCACTATTTTCTAAGAGTGCTCTTACAGTGATCACACCTATCTCTTATCGGGTGAACTTTAATAAAATGAGTGTTTAGTAAGAAAATTTTCAATGCTTTTCCACAGGTGTTCAATTCATGTGGGATTGCTGTTGTGAATCTGTAAAAAAAACCAAGACATCTCCTGGTTCTGGGTGCATTCTTGCTCACTGTATGGGTCTGGGGAAAACATTACAGGTAAGAAACAAAAGTCATCTTGTTTTCTGGTCTGTAGCTTGCTCTCGAAAGCTGATCCAGCCAAAGCCAATTTTAATGACTTTCAGAACATAGTAAAAACTGACTGTTTCCAAGGCAGTGACTCGATGAGGATTGCTGGAGGAAAACGTTATGTAAAGAGGTCTTGAGAAAGAAGTTGTGTTTCATAGTATACAACTGTGAAAGTTCTGATACATGCTTGTGCTTTCTCCACTTCTAAAATACTCAAAATTAAATGAGGTAATCATTGCTATTCATGTGAAATGGTCATATTTAATTGTAAGTGATGTGTAGCTCCCTTGCAACTCAGAACAAGAAAATACAGCTTCAGGAACCTATGTTTCTAAGACAGTTTAATAATCCTAAGAAGATTGTGGTTTTACTGCCTGCCTTGTTCATGCGTTGCTCCTTAAACTGTTTATTTTCCTCAGTGGTTCTTCAGTTTATTTGTTGTGCTGATAAAGTAGAGGTTTATCAGTTTTGTTGGGGTTTTCTGATGCTGGACTTCCAGTGTCTAAAGCCAGATGCTTTGTGTTTTAATATAAACAATATTTTGCTACAGTTTAGACTCTTCCAGGTTGAGGGACACAGGGAATTTGTTTCCTAGCTCAGTGATTGTCCATATGTACATTCCTATTTTTGGGTCGTTGTGCATCACAAACGTTTCAGACCAGAAGTTTTCATTGCCTTGGCAGTTAAGTACAGGGCCTACTTTCAACCCCTTTTTCACTTCTTTCTTTCTTTTCTTTGGCTTTACAATTCTTTGCTTCCTGAGATCTTCAGGTTCAAGCCTTCGTTGTCACTTCAGCGCATGTTCCTTCTCCTTTACGCTGCTGAAGACTGCTTTTAAAAAATATTTAAACCAGAATATTGTAGCATTTCTTAAAAAAAGATTTCCATATTCCTTGGTCTGATACAAGTGGCTCTTCTGCCGTGTTAAAAGTTGCTCAGTGAACAACTTACCATTTCTGTTAGTCTTTAAAATCTGAAGCTCAGTCCCCATCTTGAAGTGTTTCTTCTGAAACCGGTCACCCAAGTAGTTGGTGTAAAACAATGCTCACAGCTCTTTCTCTTGGGCCTTTTACAGTCATTGCAGGCCTCAGGAGAGGCTTATGCCCTTGATCTTCAGAAGAGGTAAAATATCAGAAACTGTTCTTGAATTCCCTGCGTCTCAGTATTCATGCTGGTACCATTTCGGGGTGGTCGGGAGTGTTGAATTCCTTTTGGGTTTGCCAGGAATCTCTCTTCATAAATTCTGGTTTTGCGTTTAGCCAGATGTAGCATCACCACAAATACTACGAGCAAAGAACTGGGTTGAGTTGCCCGCTTTGCTGCTCTGCCGCCCAGTCTGCTCCCAAGGATTCCTTGATCAGAAGTCATTTGACAGAAGAACCTTTCCCTCCGATTCTGGGAAAGAGAAAGGGAAATTCTTGAGAACTCTGAAGAATAAAGTAGGGAAAAGCCCCTCAGAAAAGCAGGGACGCTTTGATCTCCCTGTTGTTGGCCTTCATTGATGCTGTCTCCTCATTTCTGGCCCACGCTGAATCATTAGAAATCTAATTTGTAGTTTCTGCAGACGTTGGAATCGAACTGATTGCAACTCGGGATCGGTCAGGGCCTTCCTGTGCCTTTCTTAGCTATACGGTCACTTGACAGGAGATCTGCCTCGTGCTTTGGTGACTCTGTGACCGGCACGTCTAGATCACGTTAGCAGCCTGCATTTGTGCAACACTTCCTTCTAAATTCTTCATATTCTCCAAATATGGATGCATTTTGCTCATTCCCTGGAGTGCAATCTCTTTAGCGTGGTGATGATGGTTCTCAAAGAGGTTATTTTCTTCCTACAGTGAGGATGGGATCCTCAAAGCATCTGTGAGGAAATGCCATTTCACCATCCTCTTCCATCTTGGTCAGTTGTTGTAGAAGCTTTCCCATTGGATTGGGAAGCCCTATCACCTGACCCGAAGGCTCAAGATCTGTTCATTCATAGAGAGGTCAGTAAGTATATCAACGTACTGGAATTCCAAGCTGTATGAAAGATGTCTCACCGTTTTTGTGCTGTCGATAGATTCATAGTCCGCAAGTGACAGCAGCCAGCTTTATGACCTTGTTAGTCACTTGGCGAACAAAATGCTGTAAGATCCTGTGGACAAACAGTCTTTGACACCTGTATGTTTGGAATGAGGCATCTCAGTAGTATTTACTCTGTATTGCTCACATCTGCCTTGCGAGTTGGTGTTTGGCATAGTCAGCAGACCTGGACACTGCTAGGTAGCAGACTTGGCCTGGCTTGAAGTCTTTCCTTATTGTTTTTAGAGACTTGAGGTGTGCACCAAGAGAAAATCTTCAGAGAGAATCTAGCAGGAGGTATCTGTTGTTCTTTGCTAGCGTTAGCTATGCCTCACTGGGACAGATGGCTTCCTTATTCTTGTGTCTTCCCTCTAAACCACTGCTGCCCAGGATTCTTCAAAAAGTGAAGTTACATGAGTAATACCTGATCCTGCTCTCCTCTGACCTAAGTCAGACAAACTTTATTTAGGACTTTCTGATGCTGAGAATCTTCTTTCGCGACCTGCGAATTGCAGGATATAGTCATGGAGCGTTCAGGCTGGTGTAACATCTTCAGATTCTTTAGATCCCCTAGATTCCTCTGCAAAGAATGGGCTCCAGGGAATCAAGGGAAGCTTGGGTTTTGTTGTTTTCTGATTTGGGTTTTTTTTGTGGGATTGTGGGGGTTTTTTTGAGTAACACAGAGCTGTAGATGATCAGAGGGACTGCGGTCGTTCACTGTACGTACTGTTTAGGTAGAACAAGCTGCTATTTTGGTGGTTAGTGGTGCACAGCGTGTGGACAGCGTGTTTTTAAGAACTCCAGCAGCAGTATATATAGCTTTGCTTTCTTTATGGAAGTTGGGGTGACAGACACAATATTTTGACAATCTACGATCCTATAGAAGAGGACTTTTATACATTGAAAATCACCTTTGAAGACTATTTTTGTGCTTAATTCTAGCTTAGGTGTTACGGTTCTTCAGGAGTTAATTACATCTTTTACTGGAGATTTGCGAAGTTTTGCAGAACGGTTGTGCTTTAATGCGGCAGTGCAGTCTCACGCAAAGGTGACTTTATACCCTTGTATTTTATACACTTCAGTTTGATGAAATATTTCAGGGCAAAAGGTATTTTTGCTTGTGATCCAGATGTGTTCGTGACACTTGTTTTGGCTGTTAGCTTCTTGATAATCAAAGAAAGCCACAGTTACAGATATATATCAAGTATTTTCATGGCCAGTGTTTGTAGCTTAGGTAATCGGTATTTCATTGTGTGGTCATGTGCCATTCCTTCTCCTGTACTCTGTAATGCCATTTGTTGTTTAGCTCTTAAAAGAGCTAAATCAGTGATAAGTTCTAGCAGACTTTGTGAACTGCAGAGAAGAACGTCAGTAAAGGGTCAGGTAAAAAGGCAATTAGGGACTTGCTGGCTGTCCAGGACATAGGACTGTTGTCATTAGTCTTCACAGGTAGATTTGCATCTGAACATGAGATGCTTTTGTCTTGGTAACAAAACCACCAGTAATTCCTTTCATGTATTGCAACATCTCATGCTGGAGTGTGTCCAGAGAAGGGCAATGAAGCTGGTGAAGCGTCTAGAGAACAAGTCTTACGAGGAGCGGCTGAGGGAACTGGGGTTGTTTAGCCTGGAGAAGAGGAGGCTGAGGGGAGACCTTGGTGAATCCTTGGAAAACGTTTCAATAACCTGCTTCAGAGCTGTTTAGAGAGGATTTGCCAATATGTTGAAAAAATGCAGAAAACATAAATTTAAGACTGGAGTTCACTTTCAAGAAACTTCACACATTCACGAAGTCCAAAGCGGTGAACTTATTTAATGTTTGGGGCGAGTATTGGGAGAAAGCTTAAACGTGACCTAATAGAAAGTTTTAGTTTATGAAAATGATTGGTGGAACATAAAAGGGGGGTTCTTTCTTTATGAGATGTTCAGCTATCTGGTGCAGTTTGTAACAGCACGTATCTCAGTATGTGAAGGGTGTATGCAGCCGTGTAACACAGGGTAATAAGTGTATGACTTCAAGATACATGTCCATTAATTTTTAAGCAGCGAGTTGTTTCAACAAGACTGTTGTTGGTAAGTTCTGTGTGTGAATATATACTTGTATGTTACTTTCCTGGCATTTAATACCCAGTGTTTATTTGGCATTTTGTCTGTTTTTTCCTCTTGCAGGTAGTAAGTTTTCTTCACACGGTCTTGCTGTGTGACAAGCTGGATTTTCGGACAGCTCTGGTAGTGTGTCCACTGAACACCGCCTTGAACTGGTTGAATGAGTTTGAAAAATGGCAAGAAGGTTTAGAAGATGATGAAAAACTAGAGGTATAAGGCTTAAAAAGAGTTCTTAAAAATGAAATAATGTTTTGCATAACCAGAAGCTCCACCACTCAAAATATAGGCTAAGGAATGTGCTTTCAGTATGTGAAAAATCTACACGCATTAGTAAGCCTTCGGTATTTAAAAGTTACACCAGTACTTTGGTATTTTAAGAGAAATTCAAGCATATTTTTCTCCCTTGGAAAGGTCTGTGAGCTAGCAACTGTGAAACGCCCTCAGGAGAGAAGCTATATGCTCCAGCGTTGGCAAGATGAAGGAGGTGTGATGATAATAGGCTACGAGATGTATCGTAATCTTGCACAAGGCAGGAATGTGAAGAGCAGAAAACTTAAAGAAATATTTAATAAAGCTTTAGTTGATCCAGGTAAGTGAAAATTAATACAAGTATGCATTTTATATATATATATATATATATTGTACTTTCTGGTTTATGTATATGAAGTAATCTTGCACATGGAAATCTGTTGGGCAAATAATTTTAAACAGTAATGTTAGGAAGAGTTACCAGATTTTCTTTGTTGGCTTTTGCTGAGTTACAGAAACGGTGGTTGTTCAGAAACTACCCCATCTGCTTTTGTAAATAGACTTCTATAACAGTCTCTTCCGTTAGATCTAATACCGAAATGACCACAGGAATATATACTGGAAACATTTCCTAATAGGTAGGTTTTTTGCTGGCATTGCTTTCTTGCAAGGTAATTTGAAGTGACTCTGTTGGGAACATAAGGTTGTTTTAATCTGCTGATTTGTTACAACCATGAGCTGCTTTATCCTTGATAGAAATCTACCCTTAAGGGAGCAACAGGAAAAATAGTTGAGAAAGTACCTTAGAAGTGTGAACAAACAAGTATTAATTAAGTGCTAATGAACTGATTGCAGATAAAGCGCTTAATGGATTTTTTCAGTCTGGTTTAAGCTCAGCTGAACTGAGCAAACTTACGTAAGCATGTATGTAAGCCCTTGAAAGTATTCCAAGTTGATACAACCAATCTGTTGGGTGGTCACCAAGAAGAACTAAAAATTTTAGGATTAGCAAGTTTCACCAAAATAGCAGAATTTTCCTACAAATTCTGAACTGGCAACTGATATCTGAAAACAACTTATGGTTATGTAGTATACCTTAAAAAACTCTTTTTAAAAGGCACCTTTGCTGTAACTTGGGTATTTCACTTTAAATTGAGAATGCTGATATAGTAGGTAGGGTAAATGGTTTCTTTGATCCTGGAGATAGGTTTTCTTGGATTTTAATTATCTATCTGGATTTTAGGTTTCTTGACAGTATGTGGTTGTTTTTCTCCCTCTTTTTTTAAAATTTCTTTCTTCTTTCTTTCTGATTGATGAAATACAGTATTGGCCTGGTATCTAATTGTACTTGGTGAGCTTGATTTTGTGAAGGTTCAAATAGCAGTAGGGCTGTGAATTTTAGTCTAACAGACAAAGGGATTCTTCTAACGGGAAAAATAACTTTGGGATTATTGGCATTGGCCAGCTGCTTTGGCATCTCCAGCTCTGCAGAAAGCCAGTTTGAGCAGCTAAGACGTTAATTAATTTTCTGCCAGCTTGACTCACTAAATCTCCTGATTGCTGTGGAGGCAGGGAAGCTCCAGTGCAGTAGCTGACGAACTATTTTTGTGATCCTGTTGAATCCACCCACATTATTTAAGCAATGAAGAAAATGCACTTCTTGCCAGTGGGTTTTCTGACTCCTATTAATGCTGCAGTTACTAAAAACAACAAAAAAAAGAGGGGACACAGACACATGACACAACACACCCTGTGCTGTCAGTCTTACTATGTGTCCTGGTTTGCTCAGGATATTGCCTTTGTTGAGAATGTCACCAGGAGAGTCAGAGCTAGGGAAGAAAAGGTGTCAGCTGCTGTCCTGAAGTAGTGGTGACAGGACAGGAGCTTTGTATTTGGTGGGTCACGTTCTGGTGCAGTGATGAAATAAAACGTTGTACATTCTTACAGTGATTCATTTCTGTGGAAAGTGTAAGGGAGGCTAAACATAGGGGTTGTTACCATGTGTCTTTATAGTAATATTGTCCTTTCCATCATGGATTTATATTTATGTAACTTCAGAAATACTGGAGTGAGGTTGGACATGCAGTTTTATGGAGGAGACACAGCGACTTGTGTAACCTTCCCTGTCCCATCTCTTGTTGAATCTCTTGGTTTTTACATCCTGCTTGTAGGTGTGGTTCTGTTCTGCCTCCAGACCTCTTTAGGCGGCTTGGGACAACAAGATAGAGCAGCGTTTGTGGTTAGGGTATTGACTTTTGTAGATTTAATCACGTTCAGAAACTGCAGCTCATTGAGCCTTGTGGGTTTTGAATAATTTCATAGGAACATGGAAACCCTTGTTTTATTATCTTCTTGGACTAGTTGGCTGGTAGGATGGAATCAGACTGTTAGAAAAACTAACCTTGAAATAAATCCCTAACTATTCTTATGTTGCTTCAAATCTTTCTCTGTTTTAACTAATTACAAAAAGACAGAAGTGTTCTTCTGTTGTTATCCGTTAGTTTTTGGAGACATTTGAATTGGCTAAATTGGTGGGTGGTATCTTGCAATGACCATTATTTGTTTCTTGCTATCTTTGTGAATCGCAGCAGGCTGCCAGTAAAGGAGTTATGAAGCTGTGTGCTGGCTTACTCTTGTGACTGTAAATAGGAAAACCTTTGCCTCTGGGAACATTTTTAATTTAGAAAGTTGCAAATTTGGTATTTGAGCAATAATTTAATGATACGTGTCTGGTTAAAATGAATGCTGCTAGGGTAGATGTATTCTGTAGTAGAAGCTTGTATTGCAATGCGTACTACAGAAGAGGGGACCAGAGAGGGAAGGTTTAGCCAAAGTTTATGGGTGGAGAAGTGATTTCATTAATTAACTAGCTCTGCTATGTGAAATAATAGCAGGATTATATACTCGTGCAGAGCAACAAATGGTTTCCCATAATGCTTTGTGCAACTGATGAAATGCTGTTTGGTTTATTGATAGCTGTTGTGCTTTGCTTGCAGCATTTCAATAACTTTGTATTTTTTTACTCGTTGCTACTAATAAAAATTCCATTACTGTTTAACTTGGAAGCTGCTCTTTAATTGGCAGTTGTATAAAGCAGACTTAAGTTCTTGTAGACTTCAGAGGAAAAGGAGAACTGTGTGTATATGTCTATTGCTGAGTATGTTTTATATATCGATATGTCAATGTGCATGTACGGCAAGAAGGGTAAGAAGATGAAGACTATGATCTTTGAGGAAAGATTGAAGGAGTAAGGCTTTTTTTGTCAGTTGTCTTTTTTCTAGGCTAATTATCTACCCTATAAGAGCTGATTACTGAAAGGACTGTTATCAGCTGATTTTTTTACATCAGATGGAGAAAGGAAAGGGCAGAATTTATTCTGGGTTGCAGCAGAGATCATTTACAGTGGGTATTACTGCACAGTGTTTTAGCAAAAGGGAGAGGTCGTGGAGTTCCCTACTTGTGTCAGGGAGGATGTGTCCCTTTCTCATAACTTATCTCAGATGAAGAAAACAGACTAAACGATCCCTCAAGGTCCCTTTAAGTTTTACATTCCTTTATAATGTTTTGAGAAACGCTCTGTCCATAATGAATTGCATTCATGTTTTTGAAGAACAAGGAAAAAACCCACAAGTTTATGAAAATCCCTGCCACTGAATTCTAGCCAAGCTGTTAGTTCAAGATATCAATGCTACGTGCCTGCCAAACAAACCACAAATAATTTTACTGAGATAGTTTTTTCATCTTTTTACTATCATTCACTTACTCTAAACAAGAGTTTTTTGAGGTGGGTTTGTTGGTTTGGTTTTTTTTTTTTTTTTAACTAACCACTTCATGTTAATGAATCACAGTCTTTACTGAAATGGATTTCTGCACAGTTTTGATTGCTATCTGTCATTAAGGCTTAATTATCCTTTTTCTCTAATGTACTTTGATTATAAATGCAATGTTCTAGGCCGAATTATTTCTGAGAATGTGCAAGCTGTCACATCTGGTGGGGATGTCTGTTGCAAATCCCTGCAAATGCTTCCATTCTAGAAAACAGCTCCAAACCATCTCAGTAGTACTGCTCATGGCGTGAACGGCTTGCTTGCAAGATCCTTACTCTTCAGGAGAGACTAGAGAAAGGATCTGGCGCTGTTAAGAGAGGTTTGCCTAAAATTAAAGGAAGGCTTTGTGTGTAGCCACTCAGTGTTTGGTGTGCTGTCAAAACTGGGGAAAGTACAAAAGTTGTGAAATAAGATGGGGAAACGTTTCAGTGGCAGGTGTGAAAATTCAGAAATAAGTAGGCTTGGGCAAGGCTCGGTGTGTTTGGAGTTCATATGTGGATTTTCCCAAGTGTCTTCTAGACTTGGCTAAAAAGTCTGCTTGGAAAAAAATACCTTCTTGATTCCTTTTCTGTTAGCATGTAAGATTCAGATCACTTTTTGACACTTAAAATGGCACGGTGAAGATGCCTGGCACTGGCATTAAACCACGCCAGGGGCCGAAGGTGTAATTGATTCTCTGCTGCTGATCACTGTCCTAGAGTTAATTTTCTCCTTTTACAAGGCATTTTAAAGTTAGTCTGAGGAAAACTGTTCTTAGTAACTTATAAAAGGGTAGGTTGTCCATGCTGATAAATACTCCTTTGACACCTCAAATATCAGCCGTTTTAGAGCTGGATAGACGAACAGCTGATGGCTTCATCTAGCGTTTTTCAAAGGTGCATTAACTTGACTTCAGCTGACTTTGTGGTTGATACACTGGAATTGAGGTCAGGTTTAGATCTGGTGAAACATTCCTTCTAAGTCGCTACTTGGATCCTGGAATATCTTTTACTTGTCCTTTCAAGGAAAGAGCTTCCAGAAATTGCCCCAAATCTGAAAACTATTAGGGTGTGTAAGTCCGTTCTGCCAAGTCTGGTATTGAGTCCAGCGGAGGGCTACGAAGATGATGAGGGGGCTGGAGCATCTCTCTTATGAGGAAAGGCTGAGGGACCTGGGGCTCTTCAGCCTGGAGAAGACTGAGAGGGGACCTTATCAATGCTAAAGGGTGGGTTGTCAAGAGGATGGGGCCAGGCTCTTTTCAGTGATGCCCAGTGACAGGACAAGGGACAACGGGCACAAACTGGAGCATGGGAAGTTCTGCCTCAACATGAGGAAAAACTTGTTTACATTAAGGGTGGCAGAGCACTGGAACAGGCTGCCCAGGGAGGGTGTGGAGTCTCCTTCCCTGGAGATATTCAAAACCCACCTGGATGCAGTCCTGTGTGACCTGCTGTAGGTGAACCTGCTCTAGCAGGGGGTTGGACTAGATGATCTCCAGAGGTCCCTTCCAACCCCTTCCATTCTGTGATTGATACTGACCTGAATGAAAAGTTACTGGTTACCCGATTTCTCTTTAGAATTGACCAGGCACCAGTAGATGGCAGCCTGAGCTGGCATTAAGGAACAGTTTTATGAAGTTTTGACAGGGTGAATGGAAATGTAGACGTGCACACACTAGCTGCATGGATAGATAATTTTTATAGGAATATATTGCAAAGCTGTATTTAATCCTTCTCACAGAGACTTTACAAGTAACAGCCTGTAGTTTACCAGAATAGCTACTGTGAATGCTTGTGCAAAGGCTGAGTGAGACCCTTAACAGTGCTAAAAAAAGCACCACAAACACACAGACATGAAAGAAAGTTAAGAAAAAAACCATTAATAACATTAGTAGAACAAGTTTTGGATTCTTTGGGCTGCCAGTTTCTTTGTGGTTATAAAAGATGGAAGAGATCTAATCTTATTTCTTTCTAGGCCCTGACTTCGTTGTTTGTGATGAAGGGCACATACTAAAAAATGAAGCATCGGCAGTTTCTAAGGCAATGAATTCCATTCGATCTAGGAGAAGAATAATTCTTACAGGAACACCACTGCAAAATAATCTTATAGAATGTGAGTAATTCTCTGGTTTAAGAAGTGTTTCTTTCCTTGGATATACTTTTGCCTTGCAGCAATATATAGGTTTAGTTTGATTAGAAGAAAAAAATTTGATACAGTGAAGCTGTTTGCTATGTTTCTGTATCTCAAAAACTCCTAACAATCTGGTTTAGCATTTTAAATCATTGTCTCAGGATGTGGCTCCGTGTTGGTTTAAGCCAACTTAAAATGAAGCTGTTGGGAATCTGGCCTCTCTTCCCTCCTTTCCCTTGGCATGGCCTTACATACATCTGATTCCTCAGGGAGCCTGTTATAGGAGTGTCAGAAAATTAACACTGCAGAAGGGAGTAGCTTTTTGGCAGTTTGGTGCCTTGATCTGGCTAACCAAAGGATCAGATGAGTCTCAGCATGTCAAAAGGGGAAGGGAGAGAATGTTCAGAGGGGAAATGGGTGGACCAGGTCTTGCAGCAGCATCAATTTAAATTGTTTTAAACCATTGTAGAGCAGTGTTCTTAGTGAACTTACTGAACAGTAATTTATGTTACTGTCTTGGGAGTTTCATTCTAAGCTTGCTTGTGACATCTGCTCCTGTTTGTTAATATGCCGTTACGTTTTCTCCTGTGGATTCATATGCTTTTGGATCTATTTTAAAATCTTTGCAGATAGATTTTATTATACGATGGCTTTGGTGTACAGCAGCTTTCAAACTTTGTGTAACAAACACGATGAGGTACTTTTAAATCTGTGCATAGAGTATGTGTCAATGTAAGATGCCCTTTCTGGAAAACGTTGGGGTTGGTTGGGTGTTTTTGCTCAACAGAAAGTTCTTAGTTTTAGATATGCCACGTTTATTTCCTGTTAGAATTAGTCCCAGTACTGTGCTTTCCATTTTGAACAACTTGTCTGATCTTTTTGTCCTAGATCACTGCATGGTTAACTTTATTAAGGAGAATTTGCTCGGTTCAATTAAGGAATTCCGAAATCGATTTATAAATCCAATTCAGAACGGTCAGTGTGCAGACTCTACTCTGGTAGATGTCAGAGTAATGAAGAAGCGTGCACATATTCTCTATGAGATGTTAGCTGGATGTGTCCAGGTAAGAACAGTTTTACTGTAACTAATTACTTGAATTAGCTGCAGGGAGGGGGAGTAGTTATTTCATCTCGTTCTGATAAAAACACTCAAAGGCCTCTAAACTTGCTATTTGAGAGCTCCCTTGAATCCAGCTATTACTTTTGGCTTAAATATTTTCACTAATTACTAAATTTTTGACTTATTTATTATGACTAGTAGAACTTACAAAAATTTCATAGCTTTTTTCAGTGTATCCTAGGCAGAACATACACGTGTATTAGAGAACACAGCTGTTTTCCTGCTAAGAGACTAGAAAATTACATGGTAAAGTAGGACATCAGTGGCTTTGAAATACACTCATTTAATTCCATATACACGTTTAAAAACAACTGCCTTAAAAACTGCACAGAAAGTTGGAGATCCAGTTTTTCCCTTGGTTCTGAATTCCTATCCTTTGTGATTTGTGAGTATCAGAACAACGGGGAAGAGGAGGGAAGGAAGGTTAATCAGGTCCAAAAGAATGAAGAACTTGTTACCTTAAAGACCTTAGATCAAGACAGAACAAAACTGCCACGATTTCCAGAGTGAGGGCTGGGCTCCTTGCTCTTCACTTAGCTGCTATGGCCTTGCACCTCGTGTGCTGTCAGCGTGATGTTGCTGCTCGTCTGCTTTCTAAACCCAGGCCCTGGCAGCCTGGTCGAAGGTGCGACGCTCTATAAGCACGAGGTGTCTCTTCCTGGCTGTGCAGTTGTTGGTAGTTGATTAAATAGTCCAAGTGGGCATGAGCTGGGTGAGGTGGTCATAGTGGGGTAGTCCCACAAGCAGGTACTTCTTTCTCCTTGAAAGATATAAAAAGGTTTGTGGCAGTGTGTAAGGCTGTTAAAGGACCTCCTATCATAAAATTACGGTCTTGGGATTATGAACAGTAGTGAGAGGACAGCGTACGCAATTCTACACATCTATACAGCAGTACAAGAACACAAACAGCAAGACAGAATGAGAAGAGGAACATAAATAGCAAGCAAATCTGAGGTGCCTCCAAACGCTGGGCACCCTGTGTTTGTGCAGCATTGGGTGGAGCCTGGATGGATTCTCTCGCACCGCTGCGCTGCGCAGATCCTGTCCTAGAGAGCAGCTCTCCCTTGTGATCATTTGAGCTACTCTGTAATTCCCTTAGAAGAAAACAACCCTGTTCCTAAAGGCTGTTCTCATGAGAGCTTCTTGCTGCACTTCTAGATAACAGCAAGGCTGTGCAGGTGGCGTGCTCGCCGGAACCAAGTGGGAGCTGCCGGCAGGCTCCTCTGTGGCAGCGAGCTGGCTGAGGTTCTCCTGCAGCCCAGGAGTTCGTGCAGCACAGGGCAGGCAGGTTAGCTCCAGTGAAGGTCACTTAACTCCTAAACGTGCAGCGGTCTCTTGGCCAGGACCAATACACCGTTCACCATGTGGGTGAAGGAGTAGGTGAAGAGAAGTAGACCAGCGAAAAGAGTCCAAAAAATGTAAAATTTTTCATTGCTCCAAGCAAATATTCACAAACTATGTGCTCTAAACCAGAAAACGGTTAACCTGAGTGCGGCTGTGATACAAACATCTGTGGTATCAGCTGCTCGACTTACCCACGCTTTCACAAAAAAAGGTTTTGGTATATTTTAAAAAAGTCACAAAAGTCGTTACCAGAGCAGCTGCCGAAGTTGCAGTCAGCTTTGCAAGGACTTGGAACTGGACATGGGAGTAACATGTCCCATACTTTTGACTGGACAACCTCATTGACTAGTGAGATGGGCTTCTGTGTCTGTAATTGGGTTGTATTTAGTGGGCTATTTTTTTCCCTTTGTGGTTGGAAAGCGTCTGAATCATTGTAATTTATGCACGGTGCTTTGTCGTTTAAGTTGCCAGAAGTCCTTAAGCTCTCAGTAGTCCTTTTCATGTTGATGTGACTGAAGTACTGTTTGTAAAATTACAGAGGAAGGATTACACAGCATTAACAAAGTTCCTCCCACCCAAATATGAGTATGTTCTAGAAGTTCGAATGACACCTATTCAGTGCAAACTCTACCAATACTACTTGGATCATTTGACAGGTACGTGCCTCCAATTCTCTGAGGTAACAAGATTGATGGTTGTTTAATAAGGGGCTTTTTTGCTGTAGTTGGTAGGTTGGGGGTTTTTATGTATGTTATTGGCTCGATGGATGTATTTTTCTGCTTCTTGTAAGATTTACCTTAGCTCTGAAACTTGAATTATAACAAAGCATTTGGTTGCACGTAAAAATTTTTTTTTTGAGGAATAGTACTATTTGCATCTCTTAACAGTAGTCCACCTTCAGGTTTTGGTTCATCTCTCTCTTCTTCCTTTTCTAAACCTAAAACATAATTGATTTAATGTCTTATGCTTCCAAGAAACAAGATACTGATTGTAAGACTGGAGGGAGAGAATGCAAAATTGAGATGTACTGGTGTAAGCATGCTGCCAAGCCTTGCGGTTTCCTTTTGTCATTATACTAGCTGAAGCTGTTATTTGCTAAATATGGGCTCTTTTGTGGAACTATCTCTTCTTTTGTTCTCAAAACCCACAGGTCTGTTTTCACAGTGACTGTGCTTTTCATCAGCTTTCAGTGGGGTCTTGACTGGTCTGTCTTGGGGACTTGCATCTTCCCAATGAAGTGCCAATTTGTTTAAGTGAAAAAGTGTATAAGGAGAAAAAAACACAACCCCAAAATGTGTTACTGTGGGCTGGTGTGCTGTTCACCTGTGGTGGGGATAAGTCACTGCAGCTTGCGGTTTGGCTATGCCAAGGCATTGGAATATCAGCACTTGTAAGCGATACACACCAGTGTACCACGTAGACCGTTGGGATGGGCATCTCAAGGAGCTCTTAGTGCGGTTTTCTGTACTGCCATGCTTCATGCAGGCACATTCCTCAGCAGCAGTTTTTGGGTTCTGGAGCAGTTCTGGTTTTTTAAAGACTGTTCATAATAATTGACTTAATGATCAGGAGTTGAATTCCATAGTCAAGAATGTTTAAGGCACTGCTGGTAGGGTTTTTGTCTAACGCTTGAAGCATGTGTTTGCTCTTTGCAGTGATTAAAAAATGTACTACATAGTCTGTTGTGCCAGTTTATTATAATTTTTGCACTTGCTAAGCCGCTTGTCTGTTGCTGATGGATTTTTGGTTTTTTAAAACTGTATTTTTCTGTTCTGGTTACTCTCCCAAGTTTAATTACAAGAAAGATTAATTGTATCTCAAATTAGGCTATGATTTATAGCGGCATGAAATTAACTGTGTTGTCTTAATGACTTTAGATTCAGGATAGTGCAGTTGGTGATCTCGGAGATAAACTGCCAGCTGAGACTTCATTTCCATAGTTCTGTGATTTGTTGCTTTTGTTTGGTTAAGTTATAGAAGGAAAGAGTTTTGAAAGACGTGTGAAAGTAATTTCACTTCTACTGATATCTCCAGTGATAAGTGGATGCCTAAGTGTCAGCTGCCCCCTTTGCCCTTTTACTCTAAAGGAGTAAAAACTTGGTGTTTTAGTTAAAAAAAGGTAACCAAACCAAACACCACTGCACCCTTACATTAATACTACTTCAAAGCAGTATGTGAACAAGCCCACTTTTATGTGTAGTGCTGGTTCTGTACTGCTGTCTGTTCTGTGTTGGCTCTTCTTTATAGAAATGTTCTGAAAAGCAGGTGATTTGTGTTCTCTTTATTTCTGCATCATGCTACACGCCTTCCAAAAGCTAGTAGCTTAAAAATTTACTTTACAGACATGCTAAATGATTTTACGCTATGACAATGCTAACCTAAATGATTTAGGTTAAATCTTTGTAGCTCTTCATAGGAACATTTTAATCACAACAGGTAGGGTAGTTTGGTAGGTTCTTTGGCTGATTTCCAGTACAAAGCAGGGTTGGTTTTGTAATTCCAGTCTCCCAATGCTGGCTTTGTTGGTCTGCTGTGCTCCTAGATAGCCATGTAAATCTTTTACAGGTCGCTGATTAGCGTAAGGGCTGGTGCTGTATGTTTACATCTGTGTTATTCTTTACACAAGTCTTGACACACAATGGCTTTCAATACCGCCTCTTTTAATCAAGCAGGCAGCAGATCAGAGGAGGTAGCCCCTAGTCTGGTGTCTGTTAAGGGAAGGGTTTGTTCTGGCGAAAAACCTGTTAGAGTGAACTTCAAATTTGCTACGTTGTTGGAGCCATTCATTGATTAACAGGTTGTGCGTGTAACTAACTGTAAAAAATCTTACCGAAATGCACTGCCTAATGGGTAGTTTAATTAATCTGCCTAGACTTTAGGGGCTCAACAAAATTATCTGAGCTTAGCTAAGTTTGCGTTTGTCAGAAGGGGTTATGCTGTTCCGTGACTTACCAGCCCTCTGTGGGCCACTTGGACTCCCCGAACCAGCAGAAAGCATTATCTGCTTCCTCTGTCTCCAGCCTGGGTTAGTGTCCTGCCGGTTTGGTCAGCTCAGGCAGTGCCGGAGACAATGTGGGAAAGAAGAGACAGGAAAGGCAAACGGCCCCTTTTAGAGGGGAAAGAGCTGCCTAAGCGAACCATGGCTCACGTCTTCAGAGCAAATCTCTGTGCTGGTTGCTGATGCCCGTGTTAATTCTTTGCGTTACTTTTGTATTTCAAAAGAAGATGACGTGCTTTCTGATTTCCAGTAAATAAAAAGGGAGTCTTGCTGCTGAAGAGAAATACAGAAGGGGAATTGTTGCTTCTCTGCACGTTTTTCTGTGCACTGTAACAGGCATAAACTAAAATACACAGTTTAGATGCAATTTTACCAAGTTGCTGTTCGTTTAATGAAAATGATAGGTTTGTTTTCACTTCTGTAATATAGAAAGTTAAAAAGTCTGCAGAACTCGTTAAGTTGAAACTTGTTAACAGCGAGTTTCTCTGTGATGTTAGCTCAGGTTTAGGGAAGTCAACTCTAAGAATTTCTGTTGTCCTTACCATTCCATTTCCCAAAGTTATAGGGGAACACAAACGGGAAGATGCTCGAGGATGTTGTATGGTTGAAACATAACAAGAACTTGCTTTATTAAAATAGTTGCACTCTGTAGATGTTTACTGGGGTTGTCTCGTGCGTTGAGGAGATGCACTGAGTAAGTTTTGTGCCTGTTTTGCTGTAGACATTTGATGATTGTGATGCAAGAAATACTATTTTCTTACAGGTGTACATGCCCTTAAATTATGCATGTAATAAATATGAAGAACATTCTCTTTCCAGAACCTAAACTTAATGCGCTGCTTAATGAGAAATTGAGACTACAAAAAAGAAATGTAACACTCTGAACATTGTACTACTTTGCACTAATTTGTCCTTGAACACTGAAACAACAGGCTGAGCTTTCTTTAGACTCTTTATTGTGACAGCACACTGCAGCATTACAAGTCAGTAAATAAAGGTAGCTCAAAACAGTAGGCCAAATTCACTGAAACCTAAATGCAAATTTTATTTCGTGTTTTCTACCTTGGGCTGCTTTTACAAAACCTAAGCAGACTTGACTGTCCTTTTAAGAGGATTTGGATTCATTCCTATACTGGGGAGAAATGTGCTTTTATGTAAAACTGTAATAATGTTTCTCATTATCAAGAAAAAGGGGAAAATCTAATTTTGACAACTTTAACTAGGAAAATATTGCCTGTGACTCAGTAATTTGACCTCTTTTACAAGAGACGTTACAATATGATGTGCATCTGGAAAGAACACTCAGTGCTGCGCTAAGGAATTGTTCAAAGGGGGAATAGTATGTGGCAAACTTACTTCAAGGTTTCATTCTAAAACCTGAACTTTATTATCAGGTGTAGGTGGTGGCAATGAAGGTGGAAGAGGCAAAGCTGGAGCTAAACTATTCCAGGATTTCCAGATGTTGAGCAGGATCTGGACTCACCCTTGGTGTTTGCAGCTGGACTATATTAGCAAAGAAAATAAGGTAAATTGAATATATCAAAATACTCTCTATTGAGAACTTTCCAAATGAGCTTTGCCAAATGCTAGGTAAAGTTTCATCAAATTAATGGAAATCTTTGTTGCTGTGGGGTAATTTTGCTGCTGTTTTTGTCATATTTTTGTTTCTGGGTGTGTTGTCATTCTTAAAATATTTTGCAAGGCCCACCGTTTGCAGAACTTACCATTGTTTAAATGAAGAATAAGCAGATGGCTGAAGGTTTAGTAAAAGCTTCTGGATGAGCATACTTAATAAAGTTTCTTTTTTTTTTCTATTTTGAGGGCTACTTTGATGAAGACAGTATGGATGATTTCATAGCTTCAGATTCCGACGAAACTTCAATGAGCTTAAGTTCTGATGATTATACAAAGTAATTGAGCTTTTATTTGTTCTTCTTTGTTGGATTTATTTCCCTAATAGAACTTAAGTGACTTCTATAGAAGTGAACGTTTATTTTTTTTTATTTCTTCTCTCTGTTAGAGTATGTTCTCTAGCAGTAGAATTTTAAAAAAATAATGGGGTGTACAATGTTACCCTTCTAGGAAAAAAAAATCCAAGGGGAAAAAGGTGAAGAAAGACTGTAGCTCAAGCAGAAGTGGCAGTGATAATGATGTTGAAGTCATTAAAGTCTGGAATTCAAGATCTCGTGGAGGTGGAGAAGGAAATGCAGAAGAACTTGTAAACAACCCTCCATCTGTTACAAAATCAGATGAAGGTGAGTATAATCTACAAGTAAATAAAATACAAGGCAGCTTCTTTTTGCAAAAGGCGCTTTGAGAGGGTTGTCAGGAATTCTGCATTGCTGCAAAATGGCAAATTCCGTAATTCCATGAACTGCTCCTGTCCTTGCATCACCTGCTACTTCTAATATGCTCGTCCTGGAAAAACAAGGGGCATCAATTTAGAGCTCAGGGGTCTTGTGGCAGGGAAGCTGCACAGTTAATGTTTTTTAATTCCCGAGTACAAAATGATACAAAGTTCACAGAGAAACTAGGCTGCTTTTCATCTCTTTTTAAACATTTGGTTGAAAGATTAATGGAAAGATTAAGACATATGCGTGTCATTTGTTGTTGCACCTGGAATTTGAAACGGATGTTGAGCAAGCAGATACAATGCAGGAAGAATATGAGACCTTTTTAAAGCTTGTTATTCGAAATACTTACATCCATACATTTTATTTTTGGATTTTCCTTTAATAACCTAGCTTTTGTCTTGCGTCTGGTATCATAGAGTTAGTTTTCTGATTGTATCATTTATTGTGTGTCTGATCACTTTCTCTGAATAAATGATGTTTTTTGGGGGACAGTTAAGGTGAGGAATTTTGGGGTTTTGGTCCCCATCCCGATGACATACTGTAAACGTGTAAGGGGAAGAGAATGTGTGTGTGTCAAACACACGTACAGATGAAATGTATTGAAGTAATTACTGGGTGTTATAGGCAGGATGGGGTTCTGTCTCTGCATCACTTCAATGGCTGCCTCTGTCATGCAGCCTCGTCCAGTTTAATGTAGCACAGAATTTCTAACCAGACATTTGATGCTGCGCCAGGTGAGGTTTGTGGGCAGAGTTTCTGTCTCATTGCAGCTGTTGGGGGCCCTTCTGCAAAGTTTAGGGGTGAAGGTAGAAATAGATAGGTGGGAGGGGTGTGTAGGATTTCCCAACACCACATGGTAGTCTCTTACTTAGTTAACTTGTTCTTTCCTTTTTTTCTGGTATTGAAAAATGCATTCTTTAAAAGCTTGTATGAAGGAAGGCTCAAATGCGAGTTCTGTCCAGAGAGGTTCTATCTTGCCCCTGAAATTTACTGGTGTGTCAGGACTGATTTGTGGTGCACAGTCTGAAAATGTAAATGTTTTGAATTGTTCATGAGAGAGAACACTTCTCCTACTATGTTTGTAAATATTTCAGTAGATCAAAGGGTTTATGTGGGAAAAGTTGGTGGTATAAATCTAACCAGTCAATTTTTATCGCTCTAATGTAAGGAGGTCAAATTGAAGATCATAGAAATATCGTAAAAGAAATTAAGTAATGTAAATCAAGATAATTCATGGTTCTTGTCTGCCTTTCGCGTTCCGATTATAATGCTGAATACGTGCTTTCTCCTGGTTGAATTCAGAATGAGCGTAATGGGAGTGCTGTTAAAGATCGGCAGGATCTGCGTCTGACACTTCTGAGTGGGGGATGCAGACCCCGACAGGCTTGTTTTGCCAAGCGTGTAGTTATTTTGGTGTATTTTTACAGTGGTGGACTGAATTTAGTAAGTCGTTCTAGTACTTAGATATTTTTAAGGGATTAAGTCAAATTAACAAAATTAACTTATAAAACAGGAACGTGATAAAAATGGGATTGTTCCCATGTATGTATTTTACAGGTTTTATTAGAGTAATAGTGTGTTAGCAGGTGAGCAGGTAAGAAACTAGGGAAGCTTAGGGAAAAGAACTTTGCAAAAAGGCAGAATGTGATGGTGGAATTTGTTTGGGTGTTTTCCTCTATTGTGACTTAATATAAAAGGGGAGAGAATGCGTGGGGGTTTTTTCCTGTATGCTAATGTTGTCTTCTAAATTAGCTTAGGGACAAAAGATCCTAAATCCAAGCCTAACAGAAGTAAGAGGAGATGGTTTACGGGTTTCATCTTAAACATCTGTACTGTTGTGACATTTGGAAACTTTCTTCCAGAGAGTTTGTTTTAATAGATGAACTAGGTAACCCGAAAGACCACTTGCTTTCTTTTTCCAACAATTTCAGACGTTTGTTTGAGATTTAGAATCATTTTCTTTATGGAAAGCTGCTTTTCAACAGCTGTAACGTTTACGGATGGATTTTCAAGGATGCGTACCTGTTGGAAACAAAGTTGTTGATAAAGGCTCGTGGGGAGAAGATGGAGATGGTAGAACTATTTGTTCAAATGTCCTGCAACTCAAAAAGGGATTTGTGACTCTTAGTGATGACTTGGGCTATTGATAATTGCTAATAGTGCAGATGCTATTTTTTCCTTAGCTTATTTAATTCTTTTCTTACCGGTTAAGCCTAATAATGCAGAAACAGTTCTGTCCTTCAGGTGTTTCAAAGCACTTAAATGGAGACCATGCCTTTCTCTTTTAAATATATTTTTTTTAACTTTGTTTTTAATAGGCAAAGCTACATCCTCTTCCAATCCTGGTAGCCCAGCGCCGGATTGGTACAAAGATTTTGTCACCGATGCAGATGCTGAAGTGTTGGAACATTCTGGGAAAATGGTGCTTCTCTTTGAAATTCTTCGAATGGCAGAGGAGCTTGGAGACAAAGTGTAAGCCAGCTCTAGAAATATTTGTAGTGACAGTATAAATGTGTTAGTCTGACAGCGTTCTTCGTTCAGTCTTCATAACGCTGTACCTCAGGTTTCTGAAGCGGATGCATGTGGTACATTTGGTTTTCAGTGAGTTTTCCCATACATGTGTGTGCTCCACCAAAGTCTTTCTCTGTGTCTAGAAAGGTTGTTTGTTTCAAAGTGCAGTATCAGAGTAAGGAGAGAAGAAAACTAAAGCAAGTCAATAATTAAAATAACCTCAGCGGTGAATTTTGTGTTTCCCTGTTCCTGTTTTCAGCCTAGTGTTTAGTCAGTCCCTAATATCTCTGGATTTGATAGAAGATTTTCTGGAGCTGGCCAACAGGGAGAAAACTGACAAAGAGAAGTCTCCTATTTATAAAGGTGAGTGTCACCTTGAACAGTGGCAAAGCTAATAACTCTTTTATAAGTCTCTATTCAGGCCAAAGGGAATGGATTTGAAATCCTTGTTTTCCTTAGAAGTGTTGTATGCTCTGTACTGTTCCTGAAGTTGGCAGGATTATTGGTCTTCTCTGCAGGTTCCGTTGTGGACTCCTCTGGTTTCGTTCTGTATCATCTATGCTTAATATAGTCTAAGCAGATGAAATGTTCATCATCTGAAAGGAGAGAAGGCATTTAGTTAAATTCTGTACAAAAGTGATGTTGTTCGCTGATGCGTGGCAAATTCTGAAGCTGCCTACTGGGAGAGAGATAGTGAAAGACAATCAGACTACTTTAAAACAGTGTGTAGAACATGCAAAATGTGAATTTAAGCATTATATGTACCGCAGTAGATTGTTTTATGGATTCATAAGGGAGCAAAGTGTTGAATTTATTATCCTAGTGATGCTCTAACGGCAATTTCTCACTAGCCAGACGGGTCCCCTGCGTAGGATGTTTCTTCTCTTTTCTCTGTGAGATCCTCCCAGAGCTCCTGATGATGCAGTTCTTTTTTATGTGAAGTTTCAGTTCCTAGTATGTGTTGTCTGAAGAATTCCTTTGAATCTGCCATTCCTTTCAAATATCTTATTCCTGGGCGTAAACACGTTGAACGGTAGCGTAAGAGAAATGTGGTTTAGTGGTACCAAAGCCATAGTTAATGAAGATTGCCAGTTATCTCTCTCCCACAGATTTATTGTTGAAGGAGCTGTCGCTCCTTGGCTTCTGAGCATTTGTCATCTTCAGATGTTACGAGCTGTCTGTATTTTATGGAGTTTTGCCTGTAGTCTGAGATAATGGTTTTTTCACTTGTGGTAGTTCTTTTGTTAAGCAATTAGACTATGTGTCGTAGCAAGAATCACCATATAGACACCTTCCTAACAGGACTCAACAATCTGTTTCTTGTAATTGGTTGTGTTAAACAGTGCTGTCTCCTAAAAAAAAAAAAGCTATTTTCTTTATAATTGATGGCACAGTGGGGTTCATTTTGTGTACATGTACTTTGATGGCCAAAGGAAATGAAAGGTTACTCGTGAATTGGGGAGGGAAGAAAACTTCTATCAGCTGTAATTATTTTCTTCCTCCATCTGGCAAGAAGTAACCATAACTCACAGGGTAATTAAACTCAAAAAGATTTTTCTGAATTTCAGTTCCAAAATGATTAGACCTTGACTTCTGAAATCTCCCTTTGAGCATTTACTTATGAATGATGTTTGTATGGGAGAGACTGACTTAGATTAATTGTGTAACATGAAACTACTCAGATCATTAGAAAAGCACAATTAGCACTATAATGCCTAAAGATGAGATCTAGTTACTTTTTTAAATTAACTTTGGCTCCAAGTTAAGGCATATCTATACACAAATGTGTATGTAGGGCTAGAAATAGTGCAAAATAAGAGGAGCTCCCCCCAAAAAGCTCAGATCTTTTCAAATGCTTCAATTAAAATTTAACCTTGGAACGTAATTTGATTATAAATTTGTATCTTTACATTCCAATCTGTATAAAACTGCTTTGAGGAGTTTCATTTAATATCAGTGGATCATTTTGTGAAGAATAAAAAAAATTCTTAAGGAGAAATGGATAGTGGTGGATGCCGGATACTTTTGTCAGCATAAAATGGCGTTGACAACATTTATTCTGCTTTTGACTCACTTTAGGCAAAATTGGTTTAGGGTTTCTCAGAGCTTTTGCCGGCTTGTGGACGATCGTTGTCATCCCGAAGGCAGTTGCTGTTACTTTCTGTTGTGTTATGTATTTTATATTTTGTTGTCCAAGCTTCTTGACATAATTTTCAAGGCGTGCCTGTGGCAAGCACCTATATCCTCCGAAAACGTTCTCTGTCTTGAATAACCTCTAGTCTTCTCCCAATGTTTTAAAATGTCAAGGGAATATATTTTGTATATATTTTGTATATTTTGTGTTCCGTATCTGTTCTTTCATCATTTAGAGAGTTGTGTATATCCAGTGTTATCAGTCTGGTTACTTAAGCAATCGGCATTTTAATAATGTGACTATTACCTTTATAGGTGAAGGAAAATGGTTCAGAAACATTGATTACTATCGCTTAGATGGTTCAACCACAGCTCAGTCAAGAAAGAAATGGGCTGAAGAATTTAATGATGAAACTAATGTGAGGTGAGATCT